GTGATTTCTTCTACTTAAACAATGTTCGTAAATAAAGATAAGAAATAATAATCTGAAATTTCCTTATCGAAACGGGTCAATTTATTTTCCAAGATATACGATTATCTACAAAACTAAAGTAAATTAAATTACGGAAAAATTGGTAATGTATCTTGACAGGTATTTTAGAATTAAAGTAAATTAAATTACGAAAGTATTTATAGATTCCGTTTTGATCGTGCTACGATTTTCACCACACCCTATTCTATTAGTGTGAATGGCAAGACTCATCGATCTGATGTTATTAAATCTAACCCTTAATTAAGCAAATCATAATTAAATCTATCGACGCGACGGAATATTCAATAACCGGGTTTAACAATAATTGAACGACCGTTGAACGACGCTCGAAATATAAACGTCGATCGAGTACAATGGACAACTTAAAATCGTTACACGAGAGCACACAGATTTAGATTCAAAGTTCACGATGCGCAAAGTACAAAGTCCAGCACGAAGTTTACGTAGAATGCATGAAAAAAAAAAAACTAATCCAAAGTCCAAGTTCCTATAGTTCCAAAGTTCAGGCATTTTTAATCTCGAAAACTAAGTTAATATTAAAGGAGTAATCGTAGCTTCTTTCTTTGGAAACGATCTCGGAAGATTAAGGAGATAGAAACGCCAACCGTGAACTTTCTCAACGGATTCCTCAATTTATTTAATAACTTCAAATTACCGTTATGTCTCCGCAATTATAATTATTCAAACAAAATGTATAAATTACAATGTTGGCCTTAGTATCTCCGATACAGGGACTGAAAGTAGAAACTTTTTATTGTTCAGAAATATTTCACTGTGCTTTAATTTGATTTAGATTGTAATTTTAGCGTTTATTATTGCTGGAAAATTGCAAGAGCATATATAAATGTAGCATATTTATTATTTGACTAGTTTTAACAGTGAATTTAAGTGCTGCTCGTTAGTTTTAAAATTAGACTCGACACGATCGTGGAATTCAGAACAGGTATAAATAAAATAAATTTAGATCGCTCCGCCCGGATATACGACCACCGGATACACATACACACACACACGGGCACAGGTTTTACCGGAAATATTCCGTGGAAAGGATTCGTTCTACTGACCCACCGGCTGCTCTAGTTAACCGAAGGAAGGAAATGGATCGCGATATATGCGGTTTAATCAATATGTCTGGATTATGAGTTGCCTAACGACTCGTCGAAGTCTTTGCTTGTCGAGGAAAAGGGTTCTCCAGGAACCATGCTTGCCCAATGGACCAGGGAAATTGCTTTTGTCAAGATTACCCCCGAGTCGTTTAATCTCTCCTCTCCGAATGCGAGTTAATGCGGTGACATAAATGGTTTCTTATAAGAGAGAACGATCGTTTTACTGCACTGTAAAAATCCCCGAGTACCAGCTTTCCAATGAAAACTAACATCGCGAGACAATTTTTATTTCCTCCCGCGTATCGAGCTTTAATTCGAGCGTAAATGCCAAAGGTCGTCCGACGATTTCTGCGACGCGAAGGGTCTCTCGAAAGAGTTCGAAACAATCAAATTATCTAAATTATTATTTTTATTTCACAAATAATATATGTGTTTGTACGAATTATTCTTAAGTAATCATTAAATTACTTGGAATTTAAATTAAAAAGAACTCTCGAATTAGTTACTTGAAATTATTGAAGAATTACTTTTTTCCAAGGAAAAAATTCATAAAATTCAACGTACCTTAAAAATTGTATAAGTTACAATAATTTTACCACAACAGGGAGAGCCTGACTTTCTGGTCTCGCGTTTACAAAATAGTTGGTTATTTATGCGACATAAAGAAACACTCAAGAGCTATTTTAGACTGCTGTAAAAACCACACTACTTGTTAACGAGTTAAACGCCACGAACGGTATCGGTTAATATTCCTTAGCCCTGAACTCCATTATAAAATCGAATAAGGAAAGTTTAACGAGAAGAATCGCGAGAATAAATATGACAATGACCTAAATATTCGCGCGGGCTTTACCAACCGCTCGACACTGAAATAAAGAATGTAAAACAGAGTCGTATTAATATTTAACAGTCAAAGAAGTTTCCGTAATTGAAATGAATAATGGATGTCGCGTCTCCATTGATTCGTATAATCATGGTAATAGACACCGCGAATGTGTAATCAACTGTGATCAAATGCGAAACCGTCGCCATACTCGCCAATCAGCGAATAATTTTCATTTCGCTAAATCTTTTTCTTAACATATTACCGTAAATAATAAAAGAAACTTCATTGACTGCCTAACGTAGAAGTAGATTGCAAAATAAACGTAAAAGACTGCTTAAATTATAATGGTTCCTATATTCTTTCTGCTTTACTCAATTTGTTTATTAACTATAACACTCTTGCATCGTTGACGCAAACCTAACCTAACCATAAACTTAAACTACGCGTTAAGGCGCCAACATTTGAATTGGTCAACGTTAGAGTGTCTCTACACTCTGTCTTTATATATTTTTGTTTCAAGTCGATAGTGTTGTTAATTTCGAAGATATAAGTCGCACATGTAATGTAACCTTAACCTTAAACTACGCGTTAAGGTGCCAACATTTGAATTAGTCAACGTTAGAATGTCTCTACACTCTGTCTCTGTATATTTTTTGTTTCAAGTCGATAGTGTTGTTAATTTCGAAGATATAAGTCGCACATCTAATCTAACCTTAACTTTAAATTACGCGTTAAGGCGCCAACATTTGAATTAGTCAACGTTAGAATGTTTCTACACTCTGTCTTTATATATTTTTGTTTTAAAGTCGTTAATATTGTTAATTTCGAAGATATAAGTCTTTGAAGGATTGCATTGAATTTGATAAATACGATTCGATCGAAAATGCGTACGTGATCGTAGTAAATAGTAATTTTTTGAAAATACTACGAGCCATTGGCCAGCACGTGGATCACGAGGTTGTACGTCAGTGAGACGAAGATAGAGATAGTACAATTTGAGAAATTACGTCTTCGTTAAAGTTGCGATATCTCCAAAACGAAAAGTCGGATCGACATAAATCGAAAACCATTTTTAAAGAGGAAGCTTCGACGCTTCTAACAGTGGCTCTGTTAAAAAGAAAACACGTCAAGCCTCGGAACTGCGCTCGCGTGAAGTTTCGGTACTTTCGATACGCGTTGCTGGACGGTTTATTAAAATATTACAACCAGTTAGTAAATTATTCGGACAATTTCATTCGTTACGATTCTATTAAATGCTCCTGACGTTTCTGACAACGAATATTTCATGAAATTTCGTTCGCTTTGATACTCCGGTAGCCTCTGTTTAACTAGAATAATGCGATTTCGATTGAACCCGGTTAAACGGGCTGTCCGTAAATTTGGATACACAGTCAACTAGGGAGCTAATTTATTTTGCGATTTCAACTTTCTAAACATTGTTTCATCGCACGTTTGTTCGCTTTCTGCTTCGACTATAAGATTTTCTGTTACATTCGAGTAGCTTTTCAATATTCGTGATAAATTGATGGAAATGATAATAAATACTTTTCTTTTATCGAGTACCTTGAAGTAATAAACAACTGAAACAATTGCAGTCTCCCTCTTTTTTGAGAAAGATCTCAGGCACTGAAATTCATTTTCAGAATCCATTGAAGTTTTTAATTTTTTTTTTTAACTTTTAACCAATTAATTGGCCTTTCACCAGTATTTTTCATTATTCGTTGATGTTCTTAGTCCCTTGGTCGAAGAAAACGATTAACAATAAAGTTAATTCAATAGTTATTATTCAAATAAATGAACATTTTGGTAGTTGTAGATTTACGATATTGTCGCGCAACTTAAATAAATAAAATTTATTTATTAATAGCAATTAGAGAAACTGAAAAATTAAAATTCCGTTCCACGGGAGCTCAGTATGGAAAGAACGGGTAATATAAGACGAAGACTCGGCGTCTTCTGGAGGAAGAAAGAAGCTAAATAAGGGAGAAAATGTCGTGTGGAATTTGAAGCATGGCTCTCATAATGGTCTAGGACATATTAGTTTATCTCGTAATGATCCCGACGAGGCGGCTCTGCACTCCTTAGTATTTCCTTCCCTCGATTATGCGTGCTCGAAGGAATGCGACCTCGAGAAAGAAGCAAGTTGTCGCTTGAAATTAATTATCGAGATCAATAAAATTTCATAAGCTAATGGCACGACACGTTCAAATTAAATTTTATCAATTTTCGTATTCGAACATCCTTCCATTATACAATAATAGAAATTAATAAAATTAATCTCGTTAAAGAAATTGACGAACGCTTAAAGAACACAAAATATTTTAACAATAAAAAAATATTAAGGTCACGAAATAGACATCTTCTCTAATAAATTATTAAAGGCACCTTCTGAAACTTTAAGTCGAAATTGTTTTCTAAATTTAATCATTCTTCCTCGATTGAATTTTTTTTCCTACATATAATGAATGACCAAACGCTTTATTTACTTCTTAATCTAGTAATACGTGATATGTAATGCACAAATAAAAGATGAGGAACGCTGATTAGAAAGTAAATTGCACACAAGTTTAGTATTTCGGTTTCAATTAATTGCTTAATTAATTAGCTTAAATAACTCTTATTGCCGAATTCAAAGGGATTCATTACTTTAATGCGTTCGCTGCAACAAATAGCACAGTTAGGAACAGACCACCGGTAGTATAATAATTTTAATAGTGCAGTCGTGTAATCAAATCGAGTTGTCCACTAAATTAAACGAAACTCGAGTTCATGAATATATTAACGTTATTCGTTTCATTTTGCACGACTCTTATGATATTTCGTGTCAATTGTTATTCACACTCAACTCAAATTACAGTATCTCCACTTACAAATTAAATAAATTATTTTATTTTGAATTAATTTTAAATATCTGAAATAAATTTTGGTCCCGGTCTGATCGTAACCCGGCTCGAAAGAATGGGTTTTCTCGTTGTGTTTCTAACGAAGGAATATTGTTTCTGTTTCAGATTGATTTTTCAAGTAATTTTGAATGCCACGCGGAAAGGGGAACCCCGATGTTCATGGGAATGCATTTCTGGCAGAAGGCTGAGCCAACTGGCTCCGCGTTGTACCGATAAGTTCTGGAAAATCTCTGTTTTCGGCGCTCCGAGAATATTGTGATCTTGTCGTGAAGCGAGCACAGCCGACATTTGGCCTGGAACGACTTTATGCCGGCAACTACGGCCGAAGAACGGTCCAAAGAGGGTGCAACAGGGTGCTAAGAGTATTTTCTCTAAAAGCTGTACTCAACCGCCAAGATGTTGCCAGCAAACGTGGTCTCCTTCGTCAAAAAGGTATTTTAAAAAAGAACATATCCTCATACCCCCATTACCAATTACAATAGAAAATACAATAACAACGAAGATGGCAAAACACGGACTATAGCGAACTATATGAACCTTTCATTATTTATCTCAAACGTGGATATAATTTTAATATTGTATCTCGCGGGTTATACAATCATTTTTAACGTTTTTAAACGTTAAGGTAAATACTCGAGAAGCATACTTTGTAGGAATTAGAGGCATATATCCGCAAAGTTTCTTTTTAAATTTCATATTTATTTTACATTTAATATCGTAGAAAAGTTTCTGTTCCCATTATTTCCCTCAAACGTTGTTATAATTTTAATTCTGTACCTTGTAGGTTATATAATTATTTTTATTCTAAAAATTAAACATTGATAAATATACTCGGGAAGCACACTCCTTGGAAATTGAAGGAATTTCTTTGCAACGCTCCGTTTTTTTTAAAACTCGCGAAAGCTGCTTGAATTTAAATATATTTTATTTCAAACCGAAACCGGTTGATCCCCCTCGTTATTCTCCGAGGTTAAAAGGAAAAGGGAGACTCCATATTTCGTTAAAAGAAATTGTACTTCTAATGTCCTTGACGTTTACACATGTCGATTTTTCTTCGCGAATAATCTGGAGTCCCTCTGGAAATCCTTTAAAACTCGGAGCTTCATTATTCTTTATTCGATGTATTTCACGAGATAAATCCATTTATAGATTAAAATAGGTCAGCCTGCATAATACATATTATCGGTCACAAGTTCAGCAGTGCCTTTTACAATTAGTCAATTCTAATCGGATTACTTAATGGGAAATAAAAATAAAAATGGAATACTCACGTACTAGTTTCTCTATGAATTTTTAAAGCTTCATTCGTTTCTTTAAAAGTAAAATACTTCGCCATTTTCGTGATTAATCCTGTGTAATTTCAAGTATGATCAATATATATATTAATTGTTATTTTACAGTAATAATATAACGTATACAGGGTGTCTTAGTAACTATGTTACAACATAGGAACAGTTCAAAAATAGAATTGTTTGGTTTAAAAACGTATATATTTTTCTAGAAAACATTTTGTCGAGGTTTCGAGTTATTTTTAGCACCGTGACGTAATAACAGAGATCGAGACCTTCAAATGTTATTTAAGTAGAGAATATCATTATCAAACAATTATTTTACAGTATTTTACGATATATCGATATTTAAAAATTATCCTTCGATTTATATTTTATTATTAGTATTTATCAATTTATATTTTCCAGAAGAGGATTATAGAAACAGCACAGTCTTTTAACGTTTCGATCGTGTAATTTAGGTCCGCCGAAAGTTGGACAATTGATATAGGTTGTATAAGGTGCCCGGTAACCGTCGATGCGACCAAAAATATTTATACGAGAAAATATAAAATAACATATTTTTTGTGGAAAAACCAATTTTAAATATTCGATTACTAATAGTAATATAGGAAAATAACTATAGCATGAATTTTAAATATTTTCACAATTTATCGAATACCTTTTTCAAAATAATGGAAACATTTTCTATTTTGTATACCTCGCATTCGATGAATTAATTGATACGATTTTTACATTCCGACACACTGACACACAAAGTGACAAAAACGAGGGACATAATCAGAGACAAGGTATACGAGTAGACTTTACATGCAATGTATTCTTTCGGTCCATTTTTCTGGGGCTCTAGAGCCCCATTATCATTCTCGTGTCACTCGCAATGTTACCAATAGGTTACAGAAATGAACACAAACGGAAGTGAGACAGAAAATTAAATTACAGAAACATTTCTGACCACACATTATATTTTCGGTAAGGAATTTTTTTCTCGAAAGTGCGTAGGACCTCGGGGGTATGTGTATTCACCAAAAATAATTGTAATTGACCCCCACAACCAAAAATAATTTTTTCAGAATGATTTAAAATTTTTCAATTTCGCCGAAAAATTTCTGCACCTACCACCTGCCGATTTGTCTTAAAAATTCGTTTTCGATTTTTAATAAATTTGTTTGACGAGGTGCGAAAAAGTTGTTTAATACTTTATTGTAGATATCTATGAGCTCTACTTCAGAAATAAATTTCATTGAAATATATTTACTATTGTAGGAGTTATGGTCGTTTGAAAATTGGACCATTTTTATGAGGTTTTTCTCACTTTACGGGGTTAAGGAACACCTTTTCGAACATTCTTGGAATTTCTACATATTCTTCAGCAAAATACGCGTAGTTTGCATTTTGAAACATTAAAATCCTCCAATCGGTTCAGAAGTTATGACTTTTTAAACATACGAATGATATTTCAGGGAAAGATGTCGTATATGGTCATACATTACATTTTCGGTAAGGAATTTTTTTCTCGAAAGTGGGTAGGATTTCGAAGATTAGTGTATTGACCAAAAATGATTCTAATTGACCCCCGGAACCAAAAATAATTTTTTCAGAATGATCTAAAATTTTTCAATTTCGCCGAAAAATTTCTGCACCTACCCCCTGCCGATTTTTCTTAAGAATTCGTTTTCGATTTTTAATAAATTTGTTTGACGAGGTGCGAAAAAGTTGTTTAATACTTTATTGTAGATATCTATGAGCTCTACTTCAGAAATAAATTTCATTGAAATATATTTACTATTGTAGGAGTTATGGTCGTTTGAAAATTGGACCATTTTTATGAGGTTTTTCTCACTTTATGGGGTTAAGGAACACCTTTTCGAACATTCTTGGAATTTCTACATATTCTTCAGCAAAATACGCGTAGTTTGCATTTTGAAACATTAAAATCCTCCAATCGGTTCAGAAGTTATGACTTTTTAAACATACGAATGATATTTCAGGGAAAGATGTCGTGTATGGTCAGACAGTACATTTTCGATAAGGAATTTTTTTCCCGAAAGTGGGTAGGATTTCGAAGATATGTGTATTGACCAAAAATGATTCTAATTGACCCCCGGAACGGAAAACAATTTTTCCAGAACGATTTGAAATTTTTTAATTTTGTCGAAGAATTTGTCCACCTACTCGAATTTTTTTCTCGAATGTGCGTAGGAATTCGGGTGTATGTGTATTGACCAAAAATGATTGTAATTGACCCTCGCAATCGAAAATAATTTTTTCAAAATCATCGGATTTTTTTTTATTTTCGCCGGAAACTGCAGCTACCCCCTGTCGATTTTTCTTAAAAATTTGTTCTTGATTTTGAATAAGCACAATCGTGGGTAATGTAGTAATACAAATTATTAGTAAAAAATACAAAATATAAAATTTTTACTCTTTATTCGTCAACTGTTTAGTATCGACATCACTGTTGGATGCATACGGCTGTGACTTCTTGTTTGTGTGAAGTATAATCCATAAGTTTTACCATAGAGTAGTGGGGGTAAATATGCCAGTTGTTCATATATTTCGAACTCTACTCTATATCAATAGTCTGTCTGATCGCGAAGACTAGAGACCTCGTTGAGTAGACTGGTTCAAGGAATGGGCCTTTCAGAAATGCCCATTAAAATCAATTTTTTTTTATCGTCGACCTACTAATTGTCACGGTTAGCCCCCCTTCTCTTCAAACGGTCTAAATATGGGCCGACCTTCGCATTGCGAGTAAATAACTTGGAACGGTAGGCAGGTCAAGAGCCAATCTTGTAATCGGTATGCAAATCGAGGCTTGTCTGGCACGCTGCTGACCATTCTCACCCCCTATCTTCGTCACTCCACCCTCATCCGTTTCGCCGAGTCTCTCTCTCTCTCTCCCTCTCTCTCTGTCTTACTCGTCCTTATTCCCGGATCACATAGTGATTTTCGGTACCCCCTTTGGAGATACATGCACGCAAACATAGCGTTCTGTCCTTCGTCCTTCGATCCGCGCGGTGTAATGCAGGCTTGGCTTTTGGGAGGATTCCAAAGAGGCCGAGAGGAATGCTATCCTAAGCTGAGTGAGCGATGGAATTCCGGTATGCAAATTCGCGGAGAATATTAAACGGCCGATATTGTACTGTGACCTTCCCTTAAGCACGGGGCGAACGTTGTTTAACACGAGACCCATTTTAGACAAAAGTCATTATCTCTGACCAACACCAGATTTACATTGATCATAGTTTCATCAAAATCCGCCGTGTTACGTTAAAATACCGCTTTCTTTTATAATCGCAATACATACTCATATCATTGTCTCAATTGCATTCGACATTAATTGGTAACAAACAATATTTACGAGTTTTATAACCTTATATAACTATTCACAGGATATTACAGCATATACAATTGATTAAAACATAACAAAATGATTTGCCAATGTTTTTAAACAATCGAGTAATAAACGAATTGAAATGCCTGAAGAAAATAAAGGATAAGATTAACGAATAATAGCAAAGTTACAAAACAGTAAATACCGAAACAAATTTTAAAACCGTGCAGTTTACAGTTGTCTGGAATCGAAGTTTTGGCCAAGGAAATGTCCTGGTGACGTGTTAATGGAGGGCGCGTAATCGACGGGGGTCGTTTCGAATCCTGCCCTCACGCGTGGAATTATTTTCTGCCCTAGATGGTGACGACGCAACCAGATTCCGGAACAACCGGATCGGTTACGCCGGATGAAGGCGGCACCACCTTCAGCAAATGGAGGCAGCTGGGAAGCGACGTGATACGGGACGGTAAGTTTCATCAGCGATTACATTCTTGGACACCCGATAGAACTAATCGAGTTACTTGCACGCTAACGATTTAAATAATTAAGTCGACGGATACGCTCGTTAGTTTCCAGCCAGAAATTGTAGTTTTGCACTCTATCACAATTGAATTGAAGAATAAGTCAAAAACGTGATCTCAGTACCTATTTGTACATGATATAGCGAGAAATATCACGTTTGAAGTGTTCGATAATATTTTATAGTTATGTATCGTTATTCCAAACAAGAAAAAATAGATATGTTAAATATTTTTTTTGAGCGAAAGCAAACATTTGGAAGTGCTTTTGCATTTTCAAGAAAAGTAGCCAAACTATCCCCTATTTTCGTTTCATTGGTTCATGAGATTTTCAAAATTGTATGATTATAAACCATTTAAATATCACACTGTTCGAGTGAATTTGTCTTGACCACTGCTTTCATGTTCGGTAAAAAAATGTATCAAAATGTGTCGCCTTCGTTTCTCGAAAAATATTGCACGTATAAAGAATCGGTATCGTTCATCTTATTATGCATAAAGAATATTAAAACACTTTCCTCTTTCATTTTTTTCATATACCGTTTACGAGAAAAATGCTGGTCAAATTGAACGCGAACACCCTGTATAATAATAATCCTGCAATTTCTAAAGCATCGTCTATCGAAGTTATCGTCACTCCTGGTTGTTCAGGCGTATATACTCGTCACGTCGAGCGGAGCGTGTGTAGTCGGCTTAAACGCGGTCTCGCGCGAGAAAATGCAAGCAAACGGAACGAGCCCGGATAAATAGCATGCCCGTTTTTTACTTAATTACTGTCGGGTCGCATTTAACAGGAAAATGCAACGTCGAGCGGTAAAGCGAGTGCCTGAGGACAATCGCTAACCAACGGATTTCGTTGCTTTTATACTCCACCCCTTTTTAAAGGCGTTGTAATTTATTGGAGATTACCGAGGACAGGTATAATTCATTCGGTTTTCTAGGACGTGAAATTCATTTGGAATTTGAATGCACCTCTGGATTATTGTAATTCCACTTCTTACAATCATAATCATTTGTTATTCGATGCTAAAGATAAGAGATTTACGCCTGTGTCACCAGACAAGAATCCTTTGTTACTTTATTTCAAATCTCAAAGTATTTATTTATTATGGTATATAAACTCTTGTTTCTGAAGAATCAGATACTATATTTGTCTTTGAGGGACAAGAGATTGAGATTATATGTATACAGGTGATTATATACATAAGTAACAAATTCTTTATTTCAATATTTATTAATGGGAAGAATTAAATTCTTAACATTTCATTTGGTTCAAAGTTTGCATTTCTTACGATCGAAATATATGGACAATGTTGGGCACAAATACTGTGGTTGAAACAATATGTTTTTTAAAGAAGATATACTTGAAGAATTCTACACAACTACTGAAACAAAAGCATGAAATATCTCAGGAACAACAGCTCTATAATGTATTCTTGTATCTTACAATTTTCTCTTGTGTCTTAAGACACAATTATGTCTAAATTCGTACTTGTTAGCTCAGTGTTTACATTGGTCACCATTGGTTAGTAGTGGTCAGTAGTGATGTGTACTTGGTATTAATGGTCAGTAATGACCTGTAGTGGTGGGCAGTGGTTAACAGTGGCCAGTAGCGATACACACTGGTCATTAGTGGACAGTGACGTATCGTAGTGGCGAGTAGTGATCAACAGAGGTCAGTAGTGGTCAGTAGTGGTCAGTAGTGATCAGTATTCGGTCGATTCTACCCTTTAGTCATTCCTCCACCATGACCATGAGTTGACATTGTTGACCATTAAATAACCAGTGACCAATTACAGGCATTGCGAAGTCGAAGATTAAAGCTTCTCTACAAGGATCCCCTATAAAATTTGGGGCAAGATTTTCTAAATTTTATATCACTTTGATCGAAGAATTTGGTTTTTATGTTATAATTAACATTTATTCCTCCACTTCCTATATTCCATTAAAAGACACGTTCAACTTTCAAATCACGCGTGTCTTGTAGCGTGAGACGTGCTCCCTCGAAGTGGAACAAAATGAAATCGCGGGGAAAGTCGAAGTCGATAAAAATGCCGTACCAATTATTGGGTGAAAAGGATGCGGATCGGTAGACGAAATATTCGATTCAATTTGGATAGGGAAGAAAAGAAATCCCCTGCAAAATTTGCTCCCGAAGCCCGACAGGTATTTGCAATTTCGAAAAAGTCTCTGTTACTTTGCCGGGGCTAACCTACTTTCCAACGATGCTCGCTCTCTTCGTTACAGTCATTCTCATCGAATTTAGCAAATGAAATAAACTCTAACTCCGAGCCAAGGAAACAGTTTTCCTTGCGATGCGTTTGTCTCGCTCGTGTTCGCTACACTTTTATCCGTGACTCCTTTGGCCGCCTAAAAGGAAAAGGAGAACCTTTCCGCGCTGATTTCCTATATCTTCCGGATACAAACTTCGCTTCGTTCGATTTTCCAATTTTCAATATCGATTATCCAGAGTCTAATGAAAAAATGGAACGAAACATAATTCTAATAACAATGAATGGAAGACAAGAATCGAAGTTACGTTGACGATGATAAACGTAAAAACGTTGTAAAATCATTATAGAACGATCATTATAGAACCATTAGTGCCCATTTTGGAAGGAATGCAGTGATTAATTATTCCACGTCAGCTTCAGGGTGGATAGTTGTTGAATGCTGAAATTTGATTTGAAAAAAGAAACATTTTCCGCGTTGTATACTGCCGATACGTATCTGTTGATTGCAGTATCGTCGGCGGGAAGAGTGGATTTGCAAATTGCGAAATAAAATCGTATGTACGTCAGAGACGGCGATGACGCGTTTCGTTGATAGGCACTCGAGCGTCACTGGGAAAATACAAATTGTACACGAACCTTTCAAAAGACACCCGTGGACGAATATTTAGAATTTTTATTCAACAACATTATTTTATATCAATGTCCTTAAATTCTTCTTCAGAGACGAGCAACAATTATCCAGCTTTGTGGATTTCCTTTATAACGTCAGATTTAAATACTAAAAGCACTGTTGATAATATTTAGAAAATAATATCAACGAACAATAAAGAATGAAATAAAATTCAAAAGAACTATTTTGTAACGTTTTATACGCTTCGTTATTAATTCTCGAAAAAACATCTGAATCAAATTTACAATATCTGATGATTGCATAAGTTCGTGCCAGATTTAGAAATGAAGTTCAATCGGTTAAATTTGATAGAATACAGTTTTATAAATCAATTATATAGTCTCCATTCTTTTCTACAATTATTTCCAATGATCTACAAGTTTGTTGATTCCAATTTTGAAGAAAGAATTTGGTTTTTCTTGAAGAAAGTTCATGAGATTCTTGATATCTTCCTTGGAATTGAGATTTTTCCATTCAAACTATTCAGATGAAAATCTGACGGGGCCATGTCTGGAGAATATGGTGGGTGCTGTAGGAGTTCCCATTGTAACTCCTGTAGCTTTTGCAGCGTCTGTTCTGCGACGTGTGGCCTAGCATTACCATGATGGAAGATTATGCCTTTTCGATTAGCTAAAAATCGGACGTTTTTCTCGAATAGCCGCATCGAGTCTGAGTTGTTCACAGTATTTGTCTGCCGTGATCGTTTCGTCTCGTTGGAGTAGCTCGAAGTGTATAACACCTCTACAATCCCACCAAACACACTGCAACGCCTTCATTGGATGCAGTCCAGCTTTTGCAACTGGTTCTGCAACTTCATTTCCTTTTTACCAGGTCCTTTTTCGCTGTACGTTGTTGTATAGTATCCACTTTTCGTCGTCTGTTACCGTTCGATCCAAAAAAGGCTCGTTTTCGTTACGTGCAAGGAGAGAAGCGGCCACAGTCATGCGGTTGAACTTATTCCTTTCAGTCAAGAAATGAATCCAAGCTTTTTCAAATGGCGAAACGCGGTCGAATTATCTATATTCATTTTTTCAGTAATCTCCTCAAGTAGTAATCCTTGGGTTTTGCTCCACCAAGGCACACACAATGTCGTCATCAATTTCGGAAGGCAGTCCAGATCGGGGTTGATCCTCCAAGTTGAAATCACCATTTCTAAATCTGCCAAATCACTTTTTAATTGTCCGAAGAGCAGGAGCACGGTCTAAATAAACGCTCTGAATGTATTATTGTGCAGTACCAACAGTCACACCCTTCCGAAATTCGTATAGCATTACACACCGCAAATGTACCTTTTCGTTCTCCATCTTGAAACATTTCTCTTACGCGCAAATGAACTTATCAGAATGATGGTCTGAGGCTAATGTGACACGTGACGCAATAAGCTTTTCAGTGCTTATATATAACTACATAAAAACAAGATGAAGCAATAGTCAAATATTTAGACAATGATAAAATGAATGAGACAGTACATTCCATTCATGATGAAACAAATTTGTTGCGTAAAAAAAGTAGTAATATAAGTGATATAATTGAAATTAAAGATGAAGAGGTATCGACAAATACATTACGAGATAAATTAGCAACGAAAGCTATAATCAAGGATGATTTTGTTTCTCAAACAGCAAGAAGGTATAATGCGCTACAAAGAAGTAGAAGAACTTGAAAAGTTAACATACGTATTGTCTAAAAAAAAAAAGTGCTTATAACTACATAAAAATAATAGAGCTACCCTGTCGAGTGAAGTTTGCAAGTATAGAAATCGGGCACTTATGCAATCATCCAATAGATAGCACTAAAGTGCTCTGTTTGCTGATATCTAATCACCTGGACGCGAATATCGTTAATTGAGAGTGAACATGGTCGCGAAATAAAAACACCGGCTTCGCTGGAACATTGTACATATAATTTTTTCAGCCCAACATTACGACTTTACGAGTTTGCCATATTGGCGCGGAACACGCAATGAATGCCAACCGAGACTATTGTAATCTACCACGGTTGGATTCAGCATGCTTACCAACGCGTTTGATATCAAGGAGGTCATTGCTATAATTGATCTCGGAACGCAATCGCACTGTTAGTCATCGAGGTAATTAATGGAACACGGAGTAGGTTAGAAGCGGGCTGGAGGTCGGATAGACCGACTACCTTGCTATCTGTCGAGAGAAGAGGAAAATGACTATGCCCTTCCAACTTCTCTTAGCGTTTCCTCTTCGTCGACGAACTTAGGACACTGTAAACTGCTTCTCTCGTTTTAGAATGCAGCTTCCAAGTACCACTCTGCTCTAAATTACCGTAATAGTCCAAAGATTAATGGATGTTTCTATAATTTTTATTCGGTATTTCTGAAAGATGCTTTGCAGGTTTCAAAAGAATAATTTGAAAACATTGGTTTAGTTATATAAAATATAACTAAAAAAAGAAAAATCCACGTTCCGTCGAAGAGGAAATATTACCCTCAAGAAGCTTATTATGGAACCAACGAAAAATGGCGTGTTACGGACGAACTACTCTACTTCCCTAACTTCCTTTGTCAGTTGACCGCGCGCAATCTTGGGCGACAATTCAGAATTTCAGCGCGAGTGTATGTGTAATAATTTTTTGTTTGCAAAGTTCGAAAACTCGTAAATATCGCGCCCCGTGCCTTGTGCATAAATAAAATAATTCATGGCCTTCAACAGCTCGTAGGGAATTATAAAACGTCTAAGAGATAACTTTTGTTTGGAAGTTGCAAGAAATACCGTCGTACCTCCCCGAAGTTTCGAGAGAAAATTGAGTCTGAAAGTCCAATATTTCTCGATAAAACCGAAATAGACTAAAATTCAGTCGACAGTTTCAGAGATAGGAATTGATTCGTCCAATGCATACAATTTTCTCTAAAATAAATAAATTTATTTATACCACTTTCCAAAAGAATGTAATTTGCAAATTTAAAAAAAATTGTAATTCTAATAATTTTAAAAGTCTCTAAATAAATTTAATTATTGTGTTATCTGTTCATCAAGAAGAAATGCAACCTTTTGGACCTGTTGCACCCCTTAACAGATTCTAAATAGACAGTTCCAGTGTTGTAATTAATTTTCTTTCCCGAGCTGTAAAAGGTCGAATGCTGATTTTTGCGAAAATTCTCGAATAAATCTTCTTGCGGCGCACGGTTCCGAGTATTTCGATGTTTTCGCGGGCCATTGTGTTCTTCAACGCATTCTTACAAAGCACAAAGCAGGTTCTTTATGCAAAACGGTTTCCTTTTACGCGATGCAAATTTCCCTCTCCGTTCCGGGGCGTTCAAATAACTGGCAAAATGCAATATCTCCAACGAAACACCAACGTCTCGCGAACGTTACAAACTATATAAAAGTTGATACAGACTTTCAGAGGGGCCGGTGTAATATTTTACAGTCAGAATTATCGAGGCGCGAAAGTAGAGCATTTCAAATAATAGGGTGACGCTTTACATCGAAGTAAGGAAGCGATGGAACGTGAAATGAAGTTGGGACAGTTATGTCTGCCGATAAATTTTCACCGACGTGAAAAAGGCAAAGAGAGTGGACGACTTTCAGGCCAATTAAACGATCGATATAACTCGTTCGAGTAATAATCCTCTCGTTCTGTGATGTTACGAATTTTCGTTCGTCGAAAAAAAAAAGCACGACAAAGAAATCTCGACGGTTCTCAAAGCGGCTTTACCAGATGGATTTCCACTCAATTTTCTAAAGTCTTCCTATCCTTTGGTAATCCGACTTATTTGCGGTGTTTAACCCATTCTTTGCTACTTGGGAGTTGGAAAATGTTTAGGGACGTTTCTTTTTCCCCAACGGGACGACGGTGTATTTGTAAATTTATTTTCGTCAATGAAAATATGTTTTTTCTTTTTTAAACAAGAATTTGGTTCGTTCGAGCCTTTGTTTTCGAAATAGTTGAGTTTGAAAATTTGTCCGAAACAAGTGGAATTTAGTACGCTTCGTCTGACGCGTCTGACCATCACTCGTTTTTTCTACTCGACGAATTAAAATCATTTTTCCTCGACTTTCTTATAATTATTGTTAAACTAAGTTAAGAGTATAGTTTCACGATCGATAATCCCACTTATTCAGCACATAATTAAAAATCATTCAAAGTTAATCTACTTTCCATAATACGCTAAAGAGAGTTGTTTGTGATTTTCATGTTCAGACTTATGCGAGAGTTGTTCGAGAGTTGTTGGTGACTTTAATGAGGTCCGACTGAAGACTTCCCAGCTAGTGCTTCCTATATATATTAATTACTTCGAAATTTGAAAGGAGTCTAACGTAACTTTAATGTTTGAGCTTGTGCTCGAGCGAGGAAGTTGAAGGTAGAATTTCATCGGGGATTCGGAATGAAATTATTAACTTAGTATTATATTATTGCAATAGTAACTTGAGGAAGCGGCAAGAATCACAGTTCCATATTACAACTATCCTTAATAATGTTGCCTTAAATTTTCTGCGTTGGATAAATTTAAATAATCAGGAATCTGGCCAAACCAACGTCTTAGATATCGAATAAAACGTTTACAACTTCCATTTTTGTTAGATTTATTTTGAAGGAGATCAGGCAAATGTCGGATAAAGTAGGATTAAACTAGGATAAAAAGAAAATACAGAACACGGCGAAGGAATATTCTCTTTATTTATAGAATCGTTTAACTGCCTAGATATGCTAATTTTATGGGGAAACTTGCATTTCATAAATCACTAAAATTGTTGGAGGCTTTGAAAGCTTTAAGTTGAGAATAACTCGAAAAATATTGTGTTTCTCATCTTATAAATCTGATCAAAAACGTTCGTATCTCCATTTAGTTTCGTTGCAATTTAGAATAACTGATGATTTCCCAGTTTTTCAATTGATTTTTCTTCCATGGCGGAGGGTCGAGAGAGAGAGAAGAATAAACAGTTTTTCTTTATTCTTGTTATGTTTCTTTGTTAAGAAAGGAAAACCCAATGCTTCGTTGGCATCAAAAGAAAATTATAAAATGCTGACTTCCTTCGCCTTTAGGAAGCTGGCCGACAATGCTAATCATTTCCTCAAAGTACCTAACATAGTAAATCTATATTCATTCAACATCAAATTGAAGAAAGGAAGCGAAGCGAACCAATTATCTACCATTAAAATTAAAGGCAAGATAGCTTGTTTCCAAATCTAGGAACGTTTAAAATAATTGCACAGTCTTGTTTATTAAATGATTCTAAGCAAACGATGTTTGGGAAACCGTGTCTAAAATCCAGATTCAACGAGATTAATTTTGTATGCTGAATCATAATAATATTAAGCTAACTTTGCTGAGGGAAATTCAATCCGAGTATATTGGATTTGTTTGATTAAAAATGTCCATAGAATGTCTTTTTCTTTTTGCAGTTACAAAATTTGGCCCCGCCAAGGTTACTCCGCCGGAAGATACTCAACCTAAGGAAGAAACGACGACAGAATCAACGAAAACGTAAGTCTATTGCAAATTTTTAAATGATTGAAATTGTAGAAATATTTGTGAAGGATAAATTAGTGCAAATCACAGACGTGGAATTTTTTTGGATAAGAATGGACGTGCGTTTTAAAACAAATTTCTATAGCTAAGCAAACAAAAACCTAAAAAAACAAGGCCTAACACGTTAAAAAGAATTGTTAAATATTAATCTGGAAGATTGTTATTAGCGTTATAAACGGAGACGTTGAATGATAGAAATTTTTATACATGAAAGAGGAAAATCAATTTGTTGCAAATGTTATTAACGATATTAAGAGTTCATTAAAATGGAAATAAATGAAAATTTAATTTCCAAAACAGTGTGGTGGACAAATTTCGTGCTGTAGGAGGATTATCGAAATTTATTAAAATGTGTTATAGGAGGGATGTCGGAATTTTTGCACCGTGTTCTATCGAAACCGTGTTACAAGAGGGTAGACTGTAATTGTAGATATTCCTAACGCACTGTGCTCGTGGCACCTAATTAATAGCTAACGAAGATGGATATCTACCTATTCATTATGCACGAACTGAAAATGGTAATTAACAGCAATTTAATTTTCAAAATGGAATATTTACGTAGCATTCGCGCGCGGAACAGAAACACTGAGGAATTATACCAAGAATAATGTTTTTTTTCTGTCTCTATTGTGTCTCCAGGAATTTAAGAACGAATACAGGAATATTTATCACAATTTTAAATTCAAGCTTAAAATGGCCTCGTCCTTTATGCGCTTGACAACTGAAAACAGTTGTTTGGAATACCGCAATGAAATATAAAAAGAAATAAACGAAAATCAAATTTAAATTAAAAAAAAAATAATAAGATTTTTGTGTATTTAGAAAAACATTCGCTATTCTGTTCGTGGTGAAGTCAACTTATTGACAAATTATTTTAATTCATGACAATACTTATCAAAACAGAGTAATATTTATGAAATTATGATTATTACGCAGACGATCAGAATCAGAGAAGATAAAGAAGTTTTTGTTATGCAAAAATTTAATCTATATTAAGGAATAAGTAAAACAACATTCGATTATCTCGCGTTGTAACTCTTCGGTGCATCCGTTACGTTGGTTTATATTCGCGGCAGTAATTTTCGTCGAAGGAAATAGGAGCTTTCGTTACACGTTGGGACAAAATAAAAAGGAACGACTCGGCCAGTTAGAGTCACATTAATATCCGGCCAAAGGGCAGAGCTGCATCCAACGTGAATGTCCACGGAACTAAGAACTGTTATTTTATGGACACTGTTTGCTGATGTTCGCCGGCGTTGGCGCGCCATTAAATTAAAACGTACCGCCGCCCGGGACCCGAACTCGAAACTTGAACGAACTTTCATTCGGACGTTTCAGGAAGTCGAAGACTGGGGACGATTGTAGGGTGTGCCGGAAGTCCTTTGCGCCCGAAGAATCTTCGAGAATTTGCTGCGAGTGTCAACACAAAGTTTGCGAAGACTGCGCTTGCTATTCGACGACAACGAATTCCGATGATCCGGTGAGTCTTCCAAACGTCCATTTATCACGAAATTATTCGGACACCCAATGTACTGCTTCGACGATACCCTATGAATTTTATATACAATGTATGGAAAAAACTGATGATGTTAACGATATTTAACAAATTATTATTTTCTATTCAAGAAAAAGTACACTCGAGTTACTAGAAAAGTTACTAGAGAAGTGCTATTTTTAGTTTTCTACAAATTAACTTGTCAAAATCCTATAGAATTGATTTATATCGGCCATATTGGTATTACTTTTTATTGGAAAAAATTGAGAGTACTCTGGGAACACAGTTTCTTTAGGAAACGTTGCTAGAAAAGTGCTATTTTTAGTTTTCTACAAATTAACTTGTCAAAATCATATAGAATTGATTTATATCGGCCATATTGGTATTATTTTTATTGAAAAAAATTGAGAGTACTCTTAGAACACAATTTCATTAGGAAACGTTACTAGAAATGTGCTATTTTAAGTTTCCTCCAAATTAACTTGTCAAAATCCTGTAGAATTGATTTATGTCTGCCATATTGGTTTTATTTTTACTGAAAAAAATTGCGACTACTCTGGGTACACGGTTTCTTTAGGAATCGTTATTAGAAAAGTGCTATTTTTAGTTTTTTTCCAAATTAACTTGTCAAAATCCTATAGAATTGATTTATATCGGCCATATTGGTATTATTTTTACTGAAAAAAAATTTTGAGTACTCTCGAAGCACGGTTTTTTCAGAACAAGTTACTGAAAAACTATTATTCTTAGTTTTCTCCAAATTAACTTATCCAAATCCTGTCGAATCAATTTATATCGGCCAAATTGGTATTATTGTTTATTAAACAAAATTGTGAGTATTCTTGGAACACGGTTTCTTCAGAAAAAGTTACTAGAAATGTGTTATTCCTAATTTTCTCCAAATTAACTTATCCAAATCCTATAGAATCAATTTATGTCGGCCATATTGGTATTTCTTTTACTGAAAAAAATTGCGAGTACCCTGGGAACACAGTTTCTTTAGGAAACGTTACTAGAAAAGTGCTATTTTAAGTTTCCTCCACATTAACTTGTCAAAATCCTATAGAATTGATTTATATCGGCCATGTTGGTATTATTTTTACTGACAAAAATTGTGAGTACTCTTATAACACTGTTTCTTTAGAAAATGTTACTAGAAAAGTGCTATTTTAAGTTTCCTTCAAATTTACTTGTCAAAATCCTATAGAATTGATTTATATCGGCCATATTGGTATTATTTTTACCAACAAAAATTGTGAGTACTCTGGGAACACGGTTTCTTCAGAACAAGTTACTAGAAATGTGTTATTCCTATTTTTCTCGAAATTGTCTTATCCAAATCCTATAGATTCAATTTATATCAGCCAAATTGATATTATTTTTTATTGAAAAGAAATTGTGATTACACTCGGAACAGGTTTTCTTCGAAAAAAGTTACAACAAAAGTATTATTCTTAATTTTCTCCAAATTAACTTATCCAAATCCTGTCGAATCAATTTATATCGGCCATATTGGTATTATTGTTTATTAAACAAAATTGTGAGTACTCTCAGAACACGGTTTCTTCAGATGAAGCTACTAGAACAGTGTTATTCTTAGTTTTCACCAAATTAACTTGTCCAAATCCTGTCGAATCAATTTATATCGGCCATATTGGTATTATTTTCTATGGAACAAAATCGTGAGTACTCTCAGAACACGGTTTCTTCAGATGAAGCTACTAGAACAGTGTTATTCTTAGTTTTCACCAAATTAACTTGTCCAAATCTTGTCGAATCAATTTATACCGGCCATATTGGTATTATCTTCTATGGAACAAAATCGTGAGTACTCTCAGAACGCGGTTTCTTCAGATGAAGTTACCAGAACAATGTCATTCTTAGTTTTCTCCAAATTAACTTATCCAAATCCTATCGAATCAATTTATATCGGCCATATTGGTATTATTATTTATTAAATAATATTGTGAGTATTCTTATAACACGGTTTCTTCAGACGAAGCTACTAGAACAGTATTATTCTTAGTTTTCACCAAATTAACTTGTCCAGATTCTGTCGTTTCAATTTATATCGGTCCTGGCTCGTAGGTGATCCGTTAAATTGAGAATTTGTTCGCAAATAGCATCGAGTTTCGCTCCTGGAGGGAATAAATGTTTAACGAACCTGTTCCCCAGTCGTCCTGGCGATGCAGCGTTTGTCGACGAAAACTCGCGTCCCGGGACCAGCCAATAGTCACTCAGGAGTCCACGGACTCGCTGCTGGAGGTCCCGGTTCTGGAGGCTCTTCAGAGGAGGCACAGCGACGCGAGGCTCGGTTGTCAGAGCGGAAGTCAAATCGGTGGACTCGGGACCGGATTGGCTCCTCCGAGAAGTCCGGAGCTCAGAAGGCACTCGGACGTCTCGCCCGCCAGTTTGAAAGAACTCGAGAAGGTAGGTGGGGGAGGGGCTCGTTCGATGTTCAATCACGCTTTTCAAACGTCTTTCAACAACGAATACATCGCAAAATTCATTTGCTGAGTCGTATTCGCTTCAACGATCGTTTCCGGTTATCGCGTTCACTGCCATGTTTTGGGAATCGAATTTCTTTTTGGCATTATTCTGTGAACTATGACGTTCGAGTGCAACTGGACTGTCTAGGAATTCAATAGGTGTCGAAAATATACGGGCGACCCATCTAAATGGAACATCTTCGAAACTATTGACGATAGAAGTGTAGAATATTTGGAATAACAAAATTTACCAACGTCATTTAATTTGCAATGCCACAAATAATGATGAAAGTGGAAGAATTGTAATTTTAATATTTAGGATTAGACTAACATTTTTTGTTTACTTGACTATTAACGTGTTCTTTCTTACTATATACAGTGAAGTATAGTTATTTTCTTTGCCTTCTCTGTTAATCAAACTTGCATGCAAAATATTAAGCAATCTTTGTTATTTTCTCGGTGAAAAGTATACGAAATCAGGTAGAACCAGGAAAAGGATATTAAATTGTCTGTAATACTGTTGGTTCACAATGAGTGGTAGTCTCGATATTATTCGACATCTTGCACGGTATAATTAGTCCAGAGGAGATATTGACTCTTTCAGAGTTGATTTTTGGTGGTTTGCGGACGAAAATTGAATTTTCCTGGCAGTTATGCTTTCATCGTTTTGGTCGTGTGCCAGGAAATATCCTGGCACGTTCGTCGACAGCGATTTTATTTAGTTTAAACGTCGACGTGGGCTATTTGTCTTGCGATATAGTTCCCTGCGACTGTACGCATGTTTGTGTATGTTGTAAGGCGCCTTATGCTTGAAACGTACGCTTCATCCGGTTTCCTTTTTCGATCGCTAAATCGTGCTTCGAAAACTTTATGGAATCACCCCAAGCGCAAATGTTCTCCATTTCTATTATGAAACAATTTTGATCGATAAAAAATGATAATCCTCGACGTACCGGTCAACGAGTAAACATTGTAATGGGTTTCTGCGGGTATTCCCGATATAGCGATATATACAGGTAATAAAAGAGTACTGGAAAACTACTGGATAGTAGACAATAGGTAAGGGAACGGATGACTTTGGAACCTAAGAATTTATTGGAAATCGTTTTTGTTGGTCGAGAGAAGAATCGACAGAATCTCATTTCATTGGAAACGGCTGCGGAAACGAAAGAAAGTGGAATGAAATTGAAATCAGAGACGAAGCCGTGACGGGGGGGCCGGGGTGGGCAACGCCGAAGCGCCAGTTAGAGAGGATACGGAAAACGGTTGAAAAAAGAACGAGAAAGAAGTCACGAATGAGAATTCTAGGTCTTTAAATCTTTACCTAGTAAACAAACGGAAATTGGCGGTCAACAACAACGAAGCATCCGTTGCAACTCTGGTAACGAGTAAAGTTAAACGAAATACGCTACCGTTTCTTATTCGTTTCTCACTCGCGGCTCGTACCACGCCTTCTTAATAAAAGACGCGGTTCAAAGAAACAGACGTGAAAACGTCCGTGCAAAGTGGAGTCAAACTTAATTATCGTTGCCTACAATCGCGCGCAAACAACGGGTAAACACACAAAAACGAATTATAACGTTCAGAAAATTTAGTGATAATTTTCTACAAAATTTTAATTGTAAACATGGATTCGTAGTATAGTAAAATTACGCAGAATGGCGGAGAATCAAATATGCTGGATAATTGAATTATATCTACATATGAAGTGATAAAAACGAGGAATTCGACCATTTTTATGGGGTTTTTCTCTATTTACGGGGTTAAGGAACAACTTTAAGGACATTCTTAGAATTTCTAAATATTCTCCAACAGAATACGCGTTGTTTGCATTTTGAAACATTAGAATCCTCCAATCGGTTCCGAAGTTATGATTTTTTAAACATACGCATGAAATTTCAGGGAAAAATGTCATGTATGGTCAGACATTACTTTTTCGGTAAACAATTTTTTTCTCGAAAGTGGTTAGGATTTTGGAGGTATGTCTATTCACCAAAAATAATTGTAATTGACGCCCGCAACCGAAAATAATTTTTTTAGAATGATTTGAAATTTTTTAATTTTGTAAAAAGTTTAGGCTCTACTCGAATTTTTTTCTCGAAAGTGGATAGGATTTCGGGGGTATGTCTATTCACCAAAAATAATTGTAATTGATCCCCGCAACCGAAAATAATTTTTTTAGAATGATTTGAAATTTTTTAATATTGTAAAAAGTTTAGGCTCTACTCGAATTTTTTTCTCGAAAGTGGACAGGAATTCGGGGGTATGTCTATTCACCAAAAATAATTGTAATTGACCCCCGCAACCGAAAATAATTTTTTTAGAATGATTTGAAATTTTTTAATTTTATCGAAAAATTTCTCCACCAACACCATGTCAATTTTTCTTAAAAATTTGTTTTTTACTTTTAATAAACACAGTCGTGGGTAATAAAGTAATACAATTTATTAGTAAAAAATAAAAAATACAACATTTCTACTCTTAGTATCGACGTCACTGCTGGATGCACGCGGCTGCGATTTGTTTGTTCGTTTGAAATATAATCCATAACATTTACCGAAGTATAGTCGGGGTACCCGGGCGCCGGATAATTGGAGCTCTACTGTATATAAAGAATGGCCATCAGGTGTCATAACTGACCATATCTTACTCTACAGTGCAACGAAAGCTCGTCCGATAAAATGGGAAATACATGGACGTGTAGGGATTAATATTTCGAACAACACGAGGTTTTAGAACCTTTCAGAATTTATAGGTTGTTGTCAACAGTTGTCACTCATTGCTAGAATGGAAAATCGGTGAAATTAAAAAGCTTGGTCCCCGGGAAAAGGACATACGCGGAGAGGTATGTGTAGCTAATCCGTTTTCGAGAACGTCGCTTCATCAGAATGAACGCGTAGCTGTTTTACGATTCGAAGGAAATTCGTTATTTACGACAAGCAGGCGTGTCTGCGCGTGACACAATCCGATTTATAGAGCGAATATTGTTTTCTTCCTCTTGTTAATTGATATTGGCATCTGGCCCGTGCCCGATCGATGCGTGAATTTCGGGGCAAAAGCATCGAGCGTGCAAACGGCTGATCCAATTCGAGGTGTAATCGAGGAAATTGCGTCAGATTTTAACGGAATCGCGAGATCTAATTTTCAGATTCCCAGCGCTAATTGCGCCTGGCTCGAACGCTGCTTCAGACCCCCGATGAATTTGTCGCATAGCATTCTAGATCCCTCCAAAACGCGAACCAAAGTCAAAACTAAATTTTTAACCTTGTTCGAAATTAGGTTTCTTAAATTTACATATGCTTTTGTACGATTAGGGATTTGATTGAAATCTGTTTAGCATTATTTTTATCTGACAGGTAGAAATTTCACGAGTGTGTGTGTTGGGTCTCATTAACAAGCGACCACAATCGCGTTTACCCGTGTTTGCACGCGATCACGAGTGACGATAATTACTGACAAAATTGTCAAGTGGAAATGTTAAAGAAAAGTCAGTGCTTCTTGCAACGTGAAAGTTCGTCAGTAGCAGCGGACCAATTCGGAAAAAAGAATTTTCTGATTGTCTGACTGGTAGCTGCTCCAAGTAAAACTCGAGGCGATCAATTTGTATGCCCAAGACAGTTACGAATAAAGTTTTTGCAACAACACTTCGTGTTCATTTCACCTTTAGCAGCACACCACGTGCACGCTGGCCCATCGAAACAACGTCTGCACATCTCGTGAAAACGCACAAAGCTTGAAGATCACCGCAAGCCGAAACAACGAGGTTGCAATTGTCCAAAATGAAAGTTTGCCAGAAAATGTTGCTTCTAACATTTCCATAAAGAAACACGGACTGATCCGGGTAGATTAGGTTCGAAGTGCGTGTAGAAAAGTATGCGAAACGACAAGTAATTAGCCGTCGCTGTAACTGCTTATCATTCGCTGTTTTCCAGACGTATCAGACAATTTTCCCCCTAATTCAAAGCTTGTCGTGTCAGTGTACAGTTCTCTAGCCGATGTCACGCCAACTCCTTTATACCTTCATCACGCAATGGTGTCGTTTCGCGCTGGACTCTAATCTATGTGTCGTAATGTTATAGTTTCGAAAGGTTGCAGGAGAACGCCGGGAAGACCTCAGGTGGGAAAGGGACTTGGAACGCAAGAGCAAGTCTAGGGCCACGTCTCCGGATCGTCACCAGGTCGATAGGGGAAGAGCTACCAGTCCCCAAAGGGTCGGCGTCGAATCTTCTTCCATCGTAGGTTAGTATAGCAATTGTTCACAATTTACAATTCCATCTCAGAACTATCTCCTACTACTTTTTCTTAACACTATTTTAATAACAAACTTCTAAACCAATCCATTCCGAACCAAAGGCTTCTAATATTTTCTTTAAGAGGATTCAACGATTTATGGAAGAAGAAGAACAAAAACACAAGCTTTTGCCTGAAATATTTTTTCAGGATTTAGTAGATTTAATGGCATTTTCGTGCAATTAAAAATAATAATAATAGTTCCCCGGTAATCTATGGAAAAAGTACTTTTCGTTTTTTTTAAAATTCGTTTTAGATTTCTGTGTTTGAAACAAAGCAGAACGGATAAATGTTCAGAAAGTTTTGAATGCCACTATACATTGATGTTCCCTTTCAAGCACTTGTTTCCGGAATAATGGAAATTGCAATACAATTGATTTCTCGCTTGATTTATGCCTTTCATTTCGTGTTTCGGTTTTCACAGACCATTGACGAGCATTGCTCTTTGAACAATTGCGAAATACTGTCTATTCTTGGCGCATTGATTGAAATTCTGTTGCTACATAACGAATCATGCCTGGTATTTAAAGACAGGTAACGTAAGATTGAATCGTCACCATTTTCTCCCTACAGTGTTTTATGCAATAATTCTACACTACTTTTTTTACTTTTGCCCATTATTTCAATAAACTGAATATCTTTACGCGATTAAATATTTACAGATTTGAAAATTTTTAAATTCAAAAGTATGAAACCGCTTAAAACAAAGTATGCAAGCACGTTCTGTGGTAACTGTCTTCTAATGTACATCAAAATAAAGAATTTAATTCGGTTCCGGGGGCTCGAAAGTTTTCCGCCATTGAAGCGGTAGAAGTTTTAGAAACACTGGCATACATTGGCCCTCGGGCTACTGTAACTCGCGAAGAGATTGTACTAACTTACAGAAGGCCGAATGAGCTTGTTGCTACGGTTGGCATTCATTCTGATTGTTCTCAGGACTAGGTCAGTATTACCAAGAGCCACTATTGTTGTAAATAATGAGTTTGGGGACCGATGTTTATCAGGACTCTGTTCTTCGCGTTGGCGATGTAGAATACTTTGTAAATCAGGTTTCAGTGTTCGAATCTACAATGTATTCAATATTTTCTTACCATTAACAACATAAATTAGTGCTTAATTTTTAGGCCTCAATTCGTTTTCTTAATAAATTATTATACACTTCTAACTTGAAGGTTGTCCAAAAAACGTTGCATATTAAAAATTCAAAGTGGTCTTAATTTGATTTCGATAAAGAGTTTCGTGGAAAATTCTACTGTTGCAATTTATTATCGTGGAAGTATCGAATCGTTTTTGTATGTAATATTTTCCTGTCGGATTAGCATAAGTCCAGACGGAAAATACGCGGTAAAGCATGGGCGAGAAGCAAGTGGAGAGAATTGTAGCTCGAAAGGGAATGTATAAGGGAATATATATACATGTGTATATATATATATATATATATATATTTATTTATTTAGTACTAAAATTCTCTCGTGGTCCACCGGTAGACAGCGAAATGCACTTTGAGCGAAGTTGGCTCAGACAATGTAAATATTAACTTGTAAGAGATCAAAACATCAACGAACGGATGGTACATAAGGATTCATAAGACCATAATCCAATAAAATTCCCCGTATAACACGAGCGGGAATTTGCATACTAACAAGAGTCGCACATTTCAATTTAAAGTAAATTTTACGAATTTCAGATTTCATTCATAAAATAATAGAACTCAATTGTGCAATGTCAGTACACCTAGCGTTAATAAAAGTACATTTATAATAAATATTAGGGCATTTGGCCAACGCTTTAGGCTTTGAATTAATACCCAACGATCATAAATATGAAATCCAGGGATACCAAAGTGTTTTCGTAACGATTATAAGCGATAATAATTTGTCAAATATACTCGAGAAAATAATTCCGTCATTAATAACGGTTAGTACCGACTGAGAAAAATAAATCTATGTTTTTTAATCAAGGTGTTTTCAGAAAATCTTTACCTAAAAAAGAACTTTCGTTCAATGATTTTCCCCAATACAAATATTTACTGTAACTGTTTTTTCGGGATCTCCGATTGCAACAGCTGTCGAACGACTGAATCCTGTTTTTTTTTGCAATGTCAATAGATCCGTTGGAACCAGTTGACGTGGACGAGGAGGAAGAACGTCGAAGCAGGGCTCGTAGGACCAGTGGCACAGTTCGCGTTAAATCGCGCATGACTCGGCAGAGATCATACGACGACGAAATGAAGAACATGGTCGCAATGTCCGGCAGTAGCGGTTATCACGAGCATCAGGAGCCATGCTTGAGGCTTCCGGCGATGTTGCCCAGACGGGCATCGGCTTATGACGTTTACGCCACCCCAGGCGTCGGAGGACTCAACGCCATGGCCATTGCGGCTGCCCAGCAGAGGGCATCGATCTCGACCCAAGGTAGATCAATTTCAATATATTTATGATAATTCACCTGCTCCTCTCATTTCTTTCATTCCTTTCTAGCTTTTTCCACCCTTGACTCCATTTTCTATTCCCTATAATTTTAATTCTATTTCCCCTTCCTGCTGCTGGTACGACGAGTCTCCTTAATTTCTCATCAATTTTTTACATTTCTCCCGCCATCGATTCTCCTCATTTTTATCAATCTTCAATTTCGATCTTTAATGATTCTTTACTCGAAAATTAGAATTTTTATAGCAGTAGTGGAGTGAATATTCGATACAGATACAATACTAAATAGTATATTAATTTGACAACCAAAAAAAATGTTGTAAATATTTTATAAATAGAACACTGGTACGTGGGGGATTAAATGCCTCTTTACTCTAAAATTAGGATTTGTTATATCAGTAATGGGGCATCTTATACACAGACCACATGTAATATTCGATACAAATACAATACTAAATAGTATACTAATTTGACAACCAGAAAAAATGTTGTAAATATTTTATAAATAGAACACTGGTACGCGAGGGATTAAATGCCTCTTTACTCTAAAATTAGGATTTTGTATATCAGTAGTGAACCACATGTAATATTCGATACAAATGTAATACTAAATAATATATTTATTTGACAACCAGAAAAAGTGTTCTAAATATCGTATAAATAATAGTTTCCTGTATTGCGTGGCTCGAAGAATAATATTTTGAAAAGTTCTGTGGCGTTTTCTGGATCAGAGTTTTCGTTTCGGGTAATTTCTAATTATTCCGTACAAGCAGTATTGGCTGCTCCTGGTAAATTGATGATCGTGTTATGGTTTGAGCGTAATAGTTAGTCGTAGGATAGTTTCAAAAGGACCGTCCATCGGATTATCTCCCTTGGTGCCTTTCGCGGCCCTTACGGCCGAACGAAAGTCCTGGTGGTCGCGTAATCGAGTTTAGCTTCCTTCAGAAACTACGTTTCCCAGCTACCCACATCTATGTCCATACGACAATTCGAGCCTAACTTCGTTTAATTTTCGTCGAATCTCTAACTGAAACTTTAATCTTCCAATGGTCGAAATACTTTCTAACGTGATCAATGTCGGTCTAATTAATTTCCATGCGTGGCCCTTGGCTCTACTCGTACGAAATTCTATCTAGAATTTGAAATTCATATTCCACCGGGGGCTAGAATAAAATATTATTTTAAATCTTTCAAATATTTGTCCATGTTCAACATTAATTTTAAAAAACTTTTGCACGAACTTAATATTTAATACCTGTACGGCAGTTGGTGGGTCTGTTTGGACCCAGACAACGCTTATTTTTCATTCATTCTTTTCCCCTATTTTTTGAAACGTTAATGTTTCTGGTATTCATTATGTGTTTCGAGCCGGAGCATTCTCCAACTTCGGCCGATGGCAAGACAAGTTATTGTTTCCGGCCATATAAATTCACAGCCCAAGTGCATGCATCTTGAGCAAACAAATTCGTGCCTACGCATAAGTAAATTCCATTAGACACGCCACTTCTTAGCAAGGCGACGGTTTAAGGCCCTTCAGATAACGGGTCGCCATAAAACTATAAATCAGTTTCGAACCGGGAACAGTCCTCGCGCCAAGCGAGAGGGTTCTCTAGGAAAACAGGGTCCTATTGAAATCGGGACACTCGGCCCAAACCGAGGCCTCCCACATGGCACACTGGCCAACTACTTTACGAGCTGTCAAGGAGTGTCTCGAGTTACCAAACTCAGACGACTTTCCTCGCCAACAACAGGAACAGTTCCTTGCAGTCAAGGGCCAATATATCTTTCCTCAAAGAAGTTCCTCTCCTTAGCTACAATCTGTTTACCAGCCGATGCACATGTCCATGACTCCAATACATTCCGGCTGACAAAGGCCCTCGGTCGCACACACCGAGCGACCAATGCGATGCATTGGTCTTTAGGCCAAACCCATCAACAGACCAAATCACACCAGTGATTGGACCTCCAGATTCCTTCCAAAACTTAGTCGATCTTGGCATGCAGGGGGAGGTCTCGATAGTCCAATCGGTGTGCTCTAACGCGGCAGCGACCCCTGAGTGGTCCCCGTTGTTAGACACAGCCGCAACTCGACCACCCTCCCTAAGATCGACGGACCCAAATCACCCCAGTGATTGGGCCTATCTATCAGTTACCACCTTTTGGCAATCTTGGCATGCAGGGGGAGGTCTCGATAGTCCAATCGGTGTGCTCTAGCGCGGCAGCGACCCCTGAGTGGTCCCCGTTGTTAGACACAGCCGCAACTCGACCACCAAGATTGCATGTTGACCGGTGGGACAAATCTCGTCTAGTCTACCAAAGGATCTCTCTCGTGAAACACATAGCGAACAGACGAACCATCGTCATCAAGCGTCCTAGTTTCAATCGTTAGAGATCGACCACAGACGCGAGACTGTCCCACATCCATCTCTGATTCAGAAACATCAACCACATAGAAACAACCTTATCCTCTCCATCACCCTATCAGGTCGTGGAGACGCACTCGAGTCGTGGAGAGAAGATTTACAACCTTCGACGATCCGATCGGCCAACGTGACGGTCACTCCACCCTCAGTGCTGAACATTATGCACTCTGTGACTGTTTATATTTCATTGATATTTTAAGAGCAAGGGCCTTATAAAACATGTATTCTCTTAATAGAATTCAAAAGTATTTAGCACAAAATTAGGATCTCTACATTATTATAGGTTAGAAGTCTAAATATATAAGTATTGCAAAACGTAAGGTATGAGTCTAAAAAGACCCAGCGAGATAAGATAGCGAGTGTTGAAAATTCTGTATGTGGATTCCAGGTTAAGATTGATTTAATTTGTAGATGAATTAATATACGTAAAGAGCATGTGCTGACCCGGATTGAAACCTTGTTTTCACAGGAAATAGGAAACCGGAGGAAAGACCGACCAGTCGGAGATCATCGTTTCGTGCAACGAAGCCGGTGATGCCATACGAAGTTGGCGTCGAAGATGGAAGCATGATGAGTTTGGAGGCATCGCCTGTGCCAGTGATTCCACCAGCGGTTGTAACTCAGCCTCCAGTTTTGATTCCTGACGAGGAACGGCGCACCAGACGAAAAGGTTCTCAGTTGTAAGTACCTTATTATTTACTAAACTCTCCAAACCTACAAAATTCGTTCGAGATAAGAGGAACAATTCAAACTGGAAAACTAAACAATAATAAAAACGAGATATAAAAAATAACTTGTTTGAAAATAAGATTAATTTACCGTCGGTACGAAAAATATGTTACGCTTCGTGTAATTCGTTTACGATTGATTAAATAATTATATAGAGTCGAGCGTAATTTACCAAATTTTGCATATCTTTTTCTGGTCATTGCATTTTATTACTCGGGTTGCGTTTCAATTTTGAAATTGATCCATTAATAAAACTTGATAAAATCTCTTTGAAAGTTAATCGTGAAATTGTATAATATGGATAAAAGCTCCTCGCTCGGTTTTATTAATTAATATTTATTATTGTAAATTCCAGCAAAATTCGAACTGTTTTCGCGGATACGGGCCGATCGAATTGTAATTATCTATCGAGCGCAGGGGATTTATCAAATTTTGTGCTGGTTTTATATTTTAATTGATTGCTCGAAAGTTATTTAAAATTTCGTAACGGGGCTTTCGTTGAAGCTTCAGGAGGTATTTGGAAAATTTTATAAATCCAGGTTGAGCCATTTGCAATCGACACTGTTACATAAAAACTTCCCCCGTTCGGTTTTAATATCGAATAAAATTATCCGAGTGTCTAAAACCAGAATAAAAATTAAAAGTCTCGAAAGAAACATTATCCACGCGTTGCATTTTTTTAAAGGATCTTCTAATTACTATTTAAGAAGGTAAAAAATTAATTCGCGATTTCTGACGATAAATACTACGAGAAATTTCAGGCTGTAGAAAATAACACACAGGTTTTGTTTGCCCGTTAACGTGTTAAAGTATACAAATTCCTGTAATTTTAAACTCAAAGGGAACGCGTATCAAATAATATTACATTACATGACACCCATATATTTTTACCGTAGCCTTTCTTTTCGTCTGTGTATGACGAAACGGAGACGGAATTCAATGTCGAGCAGTCGACGTGTTCGCCTCCTCTTCCTTGTCCCGAGAGGTTTCCTTTCTGCAAACGAAATATTTTCTCTTTCAGGAAACAAGATAAGAGTCCCATTTTCGAAGCGGGCCGTATCAAGGGGAACTCGATTTTATTTCGAACCGAATAATGTGATATTACCGTGGTTTGAATTTATTCTGTTCTTTATTTCCGACGCGACAAAGGACTCCTTTGATGTCAGACTTTTCAGCGTCAAATGCCAACAAACCAAATATTTTTAGCCGAAGCGTCGCAAACGCCCATAAATGATCATTTAAATACTTTGAGATACAAATTGTTCGAACGTTTTGCATCAGAAATAATTGAATTTCGCGTCCAAGAGAAAGTTAATGTTAAATTCTTCCAAAGTTACCGAGTTAAATATATTTTAACAAAAGAATAATTAACGTTTGAGCATTTTGCTCGAGAAATAATTGAATTTCGTGTCTAAGAAAAAGTTAATTCGAACAAAGCTGTTGAGGGGTTTGATCGTTTAAGTATTTTAAATATGTTTTAACGAAAGAATGATTAACGTTCAGACGTCTTGCCCAAGAAATAATTTCGCGTCGGAGAAAGGATTAGGTCGTTCAACGTGCACTGTACATTAAACTGGTAATTGTTTCTGGAGAACGAAAGTAAGAAGTAACACGCGAAGAAACATTAAAGCGTTAAAAAGGGGTATAATTCTCTGGAATCGCGTCGTGAGCACTAAATTGCCAGCATTTCCGGCTGGCTGGCTGTTCGCTCTTTCAATGTGTTCCGCTCTTTTCTTCCCTCCTAAGGATGTGCTTGCTCGCGGAACCAGAAAAAAGTGGAGTAGATTGCAAACACGACGTTCCCACCACTAGAGAAATAATTAATGCCACACCTATGCACGCAACCCCTTTCGAACGCGTCTTCTTAGCCTCGTTTCCTCCCTCTGTGTGCATGTGTGTGTCGAGGGACGGGGAGTTATCGCCGTTCCATAGATCCATCTAAATTTCTGCGGATCCTCATCCACGTTTCCTACGGTCTTTATTAATCTGGAGCGAAATTACCACTCGGGTCTCGCTACATTAGCGAAATTAAAATTCGTAGCGCCGCCCGTTAATTTATTTCCGGCTCTATCGACGGATTTTTTCTGCTTCGACAATTATCTCTATATTACCTTTCGTTAAATAACGAAACGTAACGTTTCCATAGAACGCCTAAATTTTTAGTTTTAAATCCCAAACGAAGGACGGAGCAACGTCGATGTTTTAGTTTCGCGTTCGCTTTTTGAAACAACGCTCGAGCACCGCACGGTTTAATTCAGACGTATTCAAATGAGATGTATCGATTGCTGGAAGCCACCAGGTCGTGCAGAAAGGTCGAAAAATTCCGTAGTTTAGCGACATCAGCGCTTTTTTCGAACGCGAGACTTCTTAAGCCACTCCACGTTTCCGGTAAGAGCATTCTAAATTGTTGGCTCGTTTCTGGATAGTTGAGTCGCAAAGCAGATTAATTAGGATTACAAGTAGTACAACGTTTAACGTGGAGTGGTCTGTTTTTACTTATGCTAATTGGGATGCACTTTTGCGACGTACCAAGCGAAATCTACTTGTTTACTTCTAATTACGAATGACGTCCGGAATGTTGTTTTCAGATTCAGTGTGACAACAATTATCGAGGAAGATAATATTTCCCTTTATTTCCGCTTTGAGTGTCTACGTTATATTGTAGAGACGATATCGAATGAAAATCCATTTGTAAATTATCTTCAGCCCAGGATATAAATTTGAAAAATTCTTTATTTCCCTTTCTTTCTACCATATATACGTCCACGTTTCAGATTCAGTATGACAACAATTATCGAGGAAGATAATATTTCCCTTTCTTTCCGCTTTGTGTGGCTACGTTATATTGTAGAGACGATATCGAATGAAAATCCATTTGTAAATTATCTTCAGCCCCGGATATAGATTTGAAAAATTCTTTATTTCCCTTTCTTTCTACCATATATACGTCCACGTTGTTTCGTCTAACTCGATAGTTGATACTATGATTCCAGACCGGATATAAACGCCATAAAGGCGTTGGCATCCGCCGTGGCAGGATCCCCAAAGGTGGCTCCGTCGGCTGTAACCAGAGTGGCAGCCGAAGATCGGGAACTGGCTCGACAAGGAAGTCTCGTGGATGGAGATAGCATCAAAATCGTTATCCACCACGCAGACAACGATATGAGTGAGTATCGTGGCGAAAAATCTTTCATTAAAATCCCGCCATTACTCGACAACACAGAAGTTGCGTTATGAAAGTTTCATTGTTCTCCGCGCCTGGGGCGTTTTATCCGATAACAATAACTTTGTCTAACAATAACTTACCGCTTTCAAGATCTTCCGAAATATTGGTACGCGAGCTATCGAGTGTAATATTACACCAATATTAATATTATCAAAGACTATTAACATAACACTGCGCCATTAATCATTAGTTAAATAATCTTGCATTAAATGAAACTTCTATTGTCTGGATATAAGTAACTCTAAAATTTACATTTATGGCATCTGAAAATGTAAGTGTAATATTAAATCAATAGTGATATTATCAAAGATTTTGAACATAACAGAGCGCCATTATTCTTTAGCTAAATAATCTTGCATTAAATGAATCATTTTTTGTATGAATATATGTAACTCTAAAGTTGGCATTTCTGACGTTTGAAAATGTAAGTGTAATATTACATCAATATTGATATTATCAAACATTTGAAACATAACAAAGTGCCATTATTTTTTTGCTGAATAATCTTGCATTAAATGAAACTTCTTTTGTCTGGATATAAGTAACTCTAAAATTTACATTTATGGCATCTGAAAATGTAAGTGTAATATTAAATCAATAGTGATATTATCAAAGATTTTGAACATAACAGAGCGCCATTATTCTTTAGCTAAATAATCTTGCATTAAATGAATCATTTTTTGTATGAATATATGTAACTCTAAAGTTGGCATTTCTGACGTTTGAAAATGTAAGTGTAATATTACATCAATATTGATATTATCAAACATTTGAAACATAACAAAGTGCCATTATTTTTTAGCTAAATAATCTTGCATTAAATGAAACTTCTTTTGTCTGGATATAAGTAACTCTAAAATTAACATTTATGGCATCTGAAAATGTAAGTGTAATATTAAATCAATAGTGATATTATCAAAGATTTTGAACATAACAGAGCGCCATTATTCTTTAGCTAAATAATCTTGCATTAAATGAATCATTTTTTGTATGAATATATGTAACTCTAAAGTTGGCATTTCTGACGTTTGAAAATGTAAGTGTAATATTACATCAATATTGATATTATCAAACATTTGAAACATAACAAAGTGCCATTATTTTTTAGCTGAATAATCTTGCATTAAATGAAACTTCTTTTGTCTGGATATAAGTAACTCTAAAATTTACATTTATGGCATCTGAAAATGTAAGTGTAATATTAAATCAATAGTGATATTATCAAAGATTTTGAACATAACAGAGCGCCATTATTCTTTAGCTAAATAATCTTGCATTAAATGAATCATTTTTTGTATGAATATATGTAACTCTAAAGTTGGCATTTCTGACGTTTGAAAATGTAAGTGTAATATTACATCAATATTGATATTATCAAACATTTGAAACATAACAAAGTGCCATTATTTTTTAGCTAAATAATCTTGCATTAAATTAAACTTCTTTTGTCTGGATATAAGTAACTCTAAAATTGAGATTTATGGCGTCTGAAAACTTAAGTGTGATATATTAACAGTGATATTATCATAAATTTTGAACATAATAAAGTGCCATTATTCTTTAGCTGAATAATCTTGCATTAAATGAAACATTTTTTGTATGAATATATGTAACTCTAAAGTTGGCATTTCTGACGTTTGAAAATGTAAGTGTAATATTACATCAATATTGATATTATCAAACATTTGAAACATAACAAAGTGCCATTATTTTTTAGCTAAATAATCTTGCATTAAATGAAACTTCTTTTGTCTGGATATAAGTAACTCTAAAATTGAGATTTATGGCGTCTGAAAATGTAAGTGTAATATATTAATACTGATATTATCAAACATTTGAAACATAACAGAGTGCCATTATTTTTTAGCTAAATAATCTTGCATTAAATGAAACATTTTTTGTCTGGATACAAGTAACTCTAAAATTAGCATTTATGGCGTTTGAAAATTTAAGTGATTTGTTGTATGGTTTCCTCTAAAAAATTGAATTATTTTCAGTAAAATTTGGAGCCGCAGTTGAGTCATAATATTCTCGAAAATGAAGTCTCGTACGATAAAACTTTATTTTAAATTTTTTCACACCGTAGAAAGAATCGTCTCTTTTTGTTCGTACCATCGTTCTCGGTACACCCTGTACATCGCGGCGAAACCAGTACACCTACATACGTCATCCGCAGTTCCGTCGCAATATTTCGCGGTTTTTATTAAACATTTCCACGAGCACACTTGGTGCTTTAGAAAATTTCTAACCAGTTTTAAAAAGTATTTTTCGAGGCTTTTCTTCGTGAATTCTTGAACGCTATTTACGCCGAAAATGGCATAACCAGGATTCATCGCAATTAAACGGTTTCCCTGAATAGTGTTCTCAATGCCAACAGAATCGATGCCCGTTACAAGGTACGAGCTTAACAGGTTACGCTTCGCTTTTCACGTGGTATTAACGAGGACGTCGTTACAGAGTTTACTCTCCGGAGGGATCTAAAATATTTGTCGACGAGATGGAATGGTCAATTTCTAATTAAAAACGTTACATTTTCAGTGCATCTTCGGCTCGTGCAAAATGTAATTGGTAGATTTCTGTCGGTAGAAACTTTTCTTTTAGGTTTTCGGAGTCAAAGAGATTAGTTTTACAAGGTTATCGTGTTTCCTGACAGAATACGTTATTTAACGTTCGACAAGACTCGAATCGTTAGTGGTTTTATTATACATGTGAGCATAAAACGTTAAAAGCTATTTTCTTAGAAACTAATCTTGCTATTGATTTTAAATATTCTTTGATAAAGATTCTTCGAATCAATTCAGTCGAAATTCAACTGAAAATAAAATTAAAATCAAGGTACTCTTAACAAAAGGTCGCATTTCATGTTACTCGAAGCAGGTACTTTAAAAATAATTCACATTTAGTTTACAGGAAATGTAGATACTTGGAACATGGGAAACATAATTTAAAAATTTACGGTCGCTCCTAAGCTCGGAATAAAATGCATCAAACGTTACAAGCTATTTTCTGAGAAACAATGGTGGGTCGCTATAAAATTCTTGTACGATATTTTAAGGTTCATTCGGGCGTTTTATGCGACGTATATGATAGCACTCTAACTCATGGGCGTGACGTCCCCTAAGCCTTTCGAAATGATACATAAATTTTTGAATTATTTGGTAGTTCGTTTCCAGGGAAATATAATTTATTTAAAACGTTTTTTACATTATACTTCGCACATTTACCAGATAGTTGTTCTTTCGATCTTTTCGACAGCTCGCGGAAAAATCATAGCTAAAATTCAAACAAAATATCGGGAAAAAATGATTATTCCTTACGCGTGGAATTTTATAGGAAACGCCGTGAACGAAGGGAACGTTATTTCCCGGCTCGTAAAAATTCTTTCACGATTCTGTTCCTCGATAGAACAAAAATCTATATGTGAAGGGATTTATCCGGGAAGGTAAACCTGAGAGTGAATAAAAGTAGCTCTCAGAAAGTAAACCTGATCTTTCGACGCAATTTCTGGCGGATCCAGCAGGATATGAAATTTGATCAGTTCTCAGGTAGACTCCTGGAAAAGTTGCCATAAAAATGTCACGTAAGGCTCTCCCCTGCTATCCTAAAATAAAGTCTGAAAAATGAAAATAGCAGAGCCTCGAGACGCATTAATAATCGTCGGTGGAAGCAGAGGAACTTACGAAATATAAAACGATTTGTAATAAATTTTTCCACCGTTGGATTACTTTTTCCTACTTTTTCGAACGGATAGCATTCTTTCCCAGATATCTCGCGATATTTCCAAGTTTTGTGAAAAATCGGGGACCAGCAAAGAAACTAGAAGAAGTCAATTCACTTTCTGCATGAATGACCATCGATCGGGGGTGGAATCGAGGGTATAAACGAAATCGTCTTTACGCTACATAGAGCGAAAGTCACGTGTCTGCATTATAAAAAAGAAAGCTGGTACAATCTTCTTCCACCCTCCAAACATTTCTCTTTTATTATCATCCTGCGCTGATGTTAAAGGGGGGAACTTTCTCGCGGCTTCAAAAGTCGTATGGAAGCGAGGGGTTCTTTAAAAGTCACCGATCCCACGATATCTGCAATATTCTATAATATTTTTGGCCAATCTGACTGCTGAAACATTGTTTATTAATATTATACGCTGTCAAAATAAGACGATTCTTTGTCCGAAAATAAATCGTGAACGTGGAATAAAATTTGTTGGAGAAAATCGATTTTCGAAACTCTCGTCAAAAATGGGAAAATTAAATAATAGGTGGAAGTCAGATATTGCAAAATGAGTTTCCTCCATTTAACAGTTTTAAAGGGACTGTAACACTGACGCATATTCTAATTAACGGTGTTCGCGTCAAATTATTGGAGGAGAAAATTCAATTCGAAAGTTAGCAACTCCAAGTTCATTTAACGATGTACCAACATGGCAGTACGAACCATAATCAATAGAATTTTCTGTAAAAGTGACTTTCTACTTTCTTGACTTAAATTGGCATTTCTATGAATAATTTATGTATGTACACGGTATAAACGTATCGTCAATATCGGAAAATGCAAGTTTGTTCGAAAGAGACGGGAAATAAATGTTAACGTTCTCTCGAAATTTTCTTATTATAGCTCCGTGGGTTAACTCGAAGAAGAGAATCAAACTCAGAAGAGATCCAGCTTTGGACAAAGGACACAGGAGTAAGTACGCAATAATTTCACAGAAATTAATTGTTTATAACGAACGCGAATATTTAACACGAGTTGGATCGAAAAATTTCATGGAGATTCACAGACCTCGTTAATTAATCACCAAAATTACGGTTTTACGTTTGAGGATGATTCGGATTACTATTTTCACCGTAAAAAAATTCTCAAAGGCGACCCAATTTTCGAAGCAATAAAGGAAATGTTTTATTTAAAATTCTACGGGATGGAACCGGGTTTTTAGTAGCCAAATTGAAATGTAGTAGGTTTATGTGCGTTCTTTATGCTCGTTGGAGTCTCGTGCAGTCAATGAACCAGATAAACGAGCTGAACCGCGACTGATAAAGAGCGAAACCATTGAAAACAGCCGCGTATTCCTAGTAGGCGTGCAAATGACGTTTAATTACTCGTTGCACTTCCGGATAGGTTTGCTCACTTTTCATTTCTCTTGAGCTGTGAAGTTGATTGGTAATCGCACCCGAGTCGCAGAAACGCGATATACGGGGTGTCCCTGAAAATTTCACGGTTGTAGGTTTCTATTTTTCAAATTCGAGTAAACACTATCTCTCGAATCGACTTAAATTGTAACTGTATTCTTTGCCTCAAAGATGGGGGTACTTTTCCTTATTGGTGAACAAAGTTAGCGTTTAGAACCAGTTTCAATAAATTTGAGAGAGAATAAAATTTTACACAAAATGATCAAATATAGTTTCTTTAAATTTAAACGAACTCTTGTTAATTGTGTACTTAATTCACATTAATTGGTACTTTTCATTATTAATGAACAACGTTACAGTTTAGAACCAGTTTCAATAAATTTGAGAGAGAATAAAATTTTACACAAAATGATCAAATATAGTTTCTTTAAATTTAAACGAACTCTTGTTAATTGTGTTCTTAATTCACATTAATTGGTACTTTTCATTATTAATGAACAAAGTCACAGTTTAGAACCAGTTTCAATAAATTTGAGAGAGAATTAAATTTTGCACAAAATGATCGAATATAATTTCTTTAAATTTAAACGAACTCTTGTTAATTGTGTACTTAATTAACATTAATTGGTATTTTTCATTATTAATGAACAAAGTCACAGTTTAGAACTAGTTTTAATAAATTTGAGAGAGAATTAAATTTTGCACAAAATGATGAAATATAGTTTCTTTAAATTTAAACGAACTCTTGTTAATTGTGTACTTAATTAACATTAATTGGTATTTTTCATTATTAATGAACAAAGTCACAGTTTAGAACTAGTTTTAATAAATTTGAGAGAGAATTAAATTTTGCACAAAATGATGAAATATAGTTTCTTTAAATTTAAACGAACTCTTGTTAATTGTGTACTTAATTAACATTAATTGGTACTTTTCATTATTAATGAACAAAGTCACAGTTTAGAACCAGTTTCAATAAATTTGAGAGAGAATTAAATTTTGCACAAAATGATCGAATATAATTTCTTTAAATTTAAACGAACTCTTGTTAATTGTGTACTTAAATCACATTAATTGGTATTTTTCATTATTAATGAACAAAGTTACAGTTTAGAACTAGTTTTAATAAATTTGAGAGAGAATTAAATTTTGCACAAAATGATCGAATATAGTTTCTTTAAATTTAAACGAACTCTTGTTAATTGTGTATTTAAATCACAAGTAGCGCTTTAAGTACTCTTGATTTTCAACAATAATTCGTTTACAACGATCAGGGTCTGCCTAAAAGCGTTCCGAATTAAAATATGCTTCCATGGAGAATTCAATATTTTTTCCACTGTTCTTTTTCGGATTCGCTTCCGGTAAATGTTCCGGTTAATTACGACCGGAAGTTTAATCTTTCTAGCGGTGCAAACACCGAAACACTGCCCGTGGACAGAGTACACGAATTCTTCGCCGAACGAGTTTGCAACGGGCCGGAACCCCTATCAGCAAATTAATGCGATAGTGTCCGAGAAATGTCAGGGGAAATTCGATTTGACGCGAATCCCGGGAAACGTATAGACAAACGCCAACAGGATGGACCCGGCCGGTATTTATTGAAAATCCCCATGGTGAAACGACGCGCGGGCCGGACCAATCAGACAATTACGCTGCAACGTCATTACCAGAACAAACCCGTGGCCCGAGGTCTTATCGTAGGCTCGACGTTCTCGGCTTGTTAATTAAGGCTGAATGACGGCACTTGATTGGCATCCTCGCGCCCGCCGGCCATCGAAACTCTCCTCGAACCACTCTGCACGAAGAACCATCATCATCCTCAAATTTCTATTCCATACTCTAGCTCCTACGTCCAACTTTTGGTCTTCTTCATCTCCGTCCTCCGGGACTTTCGGAACGTTCGAATACTCGATCCTAACCGAGACTCGGAAGAGCAGATCAAATATAATTTACAAAATCCTCTTTCTTTGCATCCTCTTGCAATCTTCATTTCTGTTTCATCGATATCTATTACTTAGGACGGAATTAGAATTAAAAAGAATGGTCAAGTATTAATATTTTACTTCGAAACATTTCGTATCTGTTTCATATGAATGTAATTGTGAGTAATTTAATCAAACATTCGAATATTCGATCCTAACCGAGATTCGTAAGAACCGAAGCAGGTCAAATATAATATACAAAATCGTCTTTCTTTGCATACTCTTGCAATCTTTATTCCTGTTTCATGAACTGTTCATTAATTAAGTAATATAATCAAACATTCGAATACTCCACTCTAACCGAGATTCGGAAGAACCGAAGCATGTCAAATATAATATACTAAACGCGTCTTTCTTCTTATCCTCTTGCAATCTTTCACAAATATTCCTGTTTCGTCCACATTTATTAGCGTAACATGTATCCTAACTGTTCGTTTAAGTAACCTAATCAATCGAATATTCGATCGTAACCGAGTTTCGGGAGAACCGAAGCAGGTCAAATATAATATACAAAATCGTCTTTCTTTGCATCCTCTTGCAATCTTCATTTCTGTTTCATCGATATTTATTAAATCATTAACTAAGTAACCCAATCGAATATTCATAAATATTTATAAATTCCCAACCGCTCCATGGCAAAGGAAGAGGCAGGAATATGAAAAAAAAATAAAATAAAAATAAACGCTTTTCAGGAATATCTTTGTAGGGACTCGTAACCAATATGACATATATGCATAAGTCAAACTCGAAGACTTTTTCAACGTCTTTTAAGTTTCTTGCCATTTTTCAAAAAGACCAAAAGATTTCAGTGGAATGCCCCTCTGATTGTCTCGGTTCTGTCTCGTTTTCGCCCCGGGCAAAGTGGATTATAAAAGTAGGGGGATAATGGAAGAGGTAGGGGAGGTCGAGATGACCCGAACATAAATTTCCGCAAGACACTGAAAGGTTGACAACGTTGATTAACTCAACGTGGATCTTCCATCGCCAGCGGGCCACGGATTCGTTAATCTCGCGATTACTATCATTCTCGATCCGTGTAACCTGTTGCACGGAACATGCGTATGCAACCGAGAGTTCATTAGCCGCGTTAGCCAATGTATTAAATTAGTCGGGCTTTAATCATGCACTTAGTTCGTTAGGCGGCCAGCGGACAGGCGTCAAGGGGAATATTCATTGTCGCGTCATTTGCTTTCCATCCAATCTGCGAATGATCTGGCCCCGACGAGATACGGAATTTCGAGGTATAATTCGTCGAGATATGAAAAACGGTATCATTTTTACATCGAGGGTGTTCAACAGGAATTTTATATACGATTATATACAGCAACGAACTGCGTGGTTGGAGAAATAATAAATTGTTTATATTTTGCACCATCGATAATTCGCGCGTTGTTCGCCGCTGAAATCACGAAAGTTCATTTATTAAATCGAAGAACGTTATTTGCCGTCTGCTTTGTTCTTCGTATTCGGTGATTAGGGCATTGTTTCGTTTATTGAAACTGGACTGGCAATGCCAAAAGTTGGTCGTTTGAAAATGGCGCCATATTTCGGAACAAAGCTTCATCAGCTCGTGAAAACGTCGATTTAAAAAAAGTATTTGCATACTTGATATAATATGAACTTGTATAAATGAATAACAGTTTCCGTAGGTGTTCTCGTTATATAGCGTTGAAAAGTTTTTTCCATAGAAACGAGACAAAAGATATTTTGCTGTCGCTTTGGTATGGTCTTTTTAGAAACTTCTGAATAATATTTCGTAAAAGTTATTTACCGGGGAAGCCACAACCGAACCGTGCACGGTCCAGCGACGGCTTTATTAAACATTCAACTTCTCTTTTCAGCTACTGGTTTTGGCCTAAGAGTGGTGGGTGGTAAAACAGGGGCTGATGGTCGTACTTTTGCATATGTGATGTGGACTGTGGTGGATGGACCGGCTGCAAAGGCTGGCATACAACGCGGCGACAAGGTACGAGGACTCGTGCGCTTTTTCGCGTTAATTTGAATACGTAAAATTAAAGAGCAGTATGAAGAATACTCGTTGATAACTTTACGCGTGAAGTTTTTCGAGGAATGTCTTTTTTTAAAGCAAAGAATCTTATTTCGTGGAATTTACGAAATTTCTTTGTATCGATTTTAGTAGATTTTTCAAATTTTTACGCGGATCCAGTCCATTTAAATTCGGATTAAAATAAGGATTTTGGCAACGCGAGTCCACTGTTTAAAGTTATAGTAAGCGGTTAATGTGAACTAGTATCGCGAAACCATTCTATCCAGCTGCGAGTTTAATTAAGTTATCGACAGCTGCACGCAAACGGAAACGCGCTACAGTCGCGAACATCGACTGTAATACTACACCTCGGAAAATCGTACGAATTCATTGACATATGGTGTTTCGATTTTACGAATAATTAACGTGGGTTTCGCCAAACGTAAGTATTTTAGAAGCGATCCAAGTTCCTCGATTAAGAAACATAGAATATAGAGTATTGGAGAAATTTCGTGCGTAAATTTTCCATTAAAACTAAAACTTTCATCAGTTTTCGAGGACCATTTTGAAAATCCTATTACCACTTGAATGCTAGAAAGATATAAATCAGGTTAAGCAGAAAAAAATGGAAATCAGTGACTCTGGAAAAGATTTGCTTAATTCGGATGGAAAGATACGCGATCTGAATGGGAGAAAGTTTTCAGCTTATAGCCGTTCAAAACCGGCAATTTAGCGAGGCAATTAATTCAAAGATTGCGGAAGTTCGCATTCAACAGATGCGATCAATTCTTGGTCGGATCATACTCGCCAAGTTTGCGGTGAGAAGGAGCATCGCATAATCCGCGATCGCGTTCGCCTTCTGTTTCAAGAAACAAATTATCCCGCCACTTTATATTTCATATTCCCCCCATCGAAACGTTAATCCCGAGAAATTCGCAATTTTCCATGAATCCCAAGAACGCTTTCAAGTTGCACGGCGAAGAAGCGATCGGTTTCTCGCGACGGAGCAAACGTCACGGCACTTTTTATCTCTGTTTACGAACTGGAACGAAAAAAAATGCTTATTTGCAAAACTTATAAATTTGATAACATAATTAGATTAATTTTAGTAGAAGATTTTATCGATCAACTTTAATCACCTCACACGTTTCTGTTATCGTTGGACACGCGATAAAATTGTATTTACAGTAATTGCTTGGTGTGTTTAGCGTTCGATGGCTGCAATCGACCAATAATTTAAAATAATTCTCCATGGTCGGGGTAGTTGAATAAGAATTGTTCCCCAGGTGTTAGAATGGGCCGGGGTGTCTTTGGTGGATCGAAGCTTCGACGATGTCGCTCAAATAACCGAGCGTGGCGACGATGTGGTCGAGCTGGTGGTCGAGCACGTTGGCGACACGTAAGTACAGTAGCAATTTGAACTCTGACAGCGCGAGACGAGCCGGATAACTTCGGATCGGTACTATGATCGACACTTTTGCCCGACATGATCGCAGCGGGGACTTGCCGGACGATCTAGGTACGGTACCAACATCGGGAAAAGTGCCGGGAAATATGGGCCTGCTGATGGGTGAGTACAACAGAGACCATCGAGCTCCATAGAACCTTGAAATTCGTCGATCATCCCACAATTTTAAATATTTCTCTACGGAAAAAATCGTGGACACTCCTAATATACAGTTTGGTCCACGCAATTGTTACAAGTCATAACTCCGTTATTATTGCATTTACGAAAAAATGCCAAAGGAGAAAGGTAAATGGTTCGAAGTGCATTACATCCGTAGGCCTTTAAATTTTTTTTAACTGCAGCAGTGCATGTGCAATTAACAATTGCATCATTTCTTTAAATAGAAATGCATATTTTTTTTTACACAAATCGATTCTTCTGTTCATTCTACGTAAAAAATGATTAGGGTACCATGGTCGAAAAATTATTAGATCTCGAGATATTTTCAAAAAATGTCTTTATCGAAGTATAATAGATGCTCAAACACTTCATGACTATGCTGTAAAGGTAAACACCCTTTCGATATTGTTACCATAACAGAAACTTTCTAAAAACTAAGTTTTGCAATAACGTTATCGCAACAAATACATCAATACGTTGGCCAGCCCGTTCGCCTGATTTAAGTCCCCCTGACTTTTTTCTGTGGGATTATTTGAAAGATAGAATTTATTCAAATCCCATAGATTCTGTAGAGAATCTGAGAATAACTGCAGATAATTTAATACGCAGTTATGCAAACAATAAAAAAAACGTTATCAGAAATGTTTAGAATGTAATGGAGAAGCGTTTGAGCATCTTCTTCGATAAAGACATTTTTTGAAAATATCTCGAGATCTAATCATTTTTTTGCCATGGTACCCTAATCATTTTTTACGCAGAATGAACAGAAGAATCAATCTGTGTAAAAAAAAGTATGTATCTCTATTTAAAAAAATGATGCAATTGTTAATTGCATATGCACTGCTGCATCTAACAAAAATTTAAAGGCCTACAGATATAGTGCTCTTCGAACCATTTATCTTTCTCCTTTGGCATTTTTGCGTAAATGCAATAATAACGGGGCTATGACTTGAAACAATTGCGTGGACCACCCTGTATAGAATTACAACTATAGATTTGAACCGAGTGAAAAAACTACCTTGCTTCGAAAAAAGTTTCTAAGAAAAAAATTGTGGACACTCTTGATACATGGGGTTGCAATTATAGATTCGAACAGAGTGAACAAATACTCTGTTATGACAAAAGTTTCTGAAAAAAGGATTGATTTTTTAGATGTTACTTCAATTTTATGCGTAACTGGATACTTAAAATGCATAGTTTTCAGTTTAACGCCAGAATTATTAAAATTGTAGATACTTGAAGGAATTTAAAATGCAATAGAAATAAATGCAGAAAACCGCGGAAAAATTGTAAAAATTCGGTCGAGTAAATTTTTTTTACAATTCCCCCGTTTGTTGTGCACGATTACTCAAATAAAAAGAAACGCAGAAATAGTCGATTGTAAATAAAAGTATTCGGACACTATGCATATTGAACTCGTGAAACATTTTTTTTTTTATTCCACTGTGTGCTGGGATACGCAGAATGGCCAATTATTAATATTTTACTGCGTAGCAATTCGTACCTACTTCGCAAATATCAATAAACGCGTGTAGTTTATTTCGATAAAAAATCTCAAAATGACCTAAACATACACGCTTTACGGTAGAGTACCTCTCTGATTATCCACCAAAAAGAATGGTCAATGATTAATATTTTATTTCGAAACAATTCGTGCTTATTTCATAAATGTCAATAAACATGTGTTTATTTCGATAATAGATCCTAGAAAAAAAATTATCAAAATGACCTAAAGATACACGCCTCGAAATTAAAATTGTAAAGAATGGTCAATGATTAATATTTCACTTCGAAACAATTCGTGCCCATTTTACAAATGTCAATAAATACGTAAAAAATTTCGTACAGATCCTTGGGGGGGGAAAAATGATCAAAATTACCTAAAGATATACACTTTACGGGGGTGGAATAAAAAAATGCGGTGTCCGAATATTTTTGGGAGGTAGCGTGCATTTAAAATCCACGCGAGATAAGAGTGTCTAGAATTCATGTGTGTTCTGACGACGAATGATGAAATGTTTTGCAGAAGCGGAAACGGATAAAACACCCTCGTCACCGACGCGCAGGAAATTGCCAAAGACGCCGGTATAACGAGTTCATAAATTGACACCTACACATGACCGTCTTCTCTTTCTTTTCTGTCTTTCTCTCATTTCCACGCAATGTACACGCATATGCATCCTACACAGGGATAAACCTCGATTAGACCGAGTCTATTAGCGTAACGGAAAGAGAAGTGCAACAACACCGTTCTACGCTTAGTTAACCGGAAGGATCTCACCGTCTCTCTCGGTCTATCGCTTTGTATATATCTCATGATCCGTATCCAATGCGAGTACCGTGTATCTACTACGCCAGTACCCGTATTCGTACTACGTTTCGTAGGAACTTCGATGTGTAGGAAGAGAAAATAGCGGCTGCGACGTGGTAGAGCGTGAATGATCGCCTTCGATGTAAATAAGAACGCTGTTCGGTGAAAAACGAGACGCGAGAGCATTTACGTTTCCCAACGATTCATCCAGAGAAAGAACGGAGGACACATACGATCAGGATTTTCGAGTAGGGGAGGGAGGAGAACCCATCAACTGGGCCCAGTAGCCATGCATAGAGCTATAGCTCATCGTGGAAGCACACCCAACGAACAAAAAATGCTTAACGAGAGAGAAATATTAAATATTTTATGTTTGAGGTCCCATACATGACCTCGAGTTTCTCTGAATTTCCACGAACATTAAGCATTGTAAATATACCAGAGACGAAATTTTTTTACGCATTTGTATTCGCTCGAAAAAGAATCGAAGCGATTAAGTAACACAATAACAATGACATTTTGTTTTTAACGCGATGTGGCACAGCACGGGTAAACATTTCGAAACTCTTTCATTTTTCCAGAGTCATTTTACGGGCTTTCCAAAACGTGTGCTCGAAATATGAATAATTACTCGATCAACGACTGCTCTCTATTTTAACGGAGCGCGATTGTACTTTTATACCGATATTAAATAATACATAAAATTACATTTTACATATCATAATACCGTATTACTAAATTCTTAAATCTTTTAAAACGTTTAACTGCCGTGAATCGTTTTTCACGTGAAATTTATACAACTAAATTTTCACCATTCGAAGGGAATTCGTTACAACGTTTATAAAATATCAATCGAATCAGTTTGTGGATCAAATTTTTATAAAGATTTAAAATAAAGAAAATCGAATGTCGTCCAACTACACCGACCATTAAATTTGTATATTTGTAACCGTAAACCGATAAATAATATTCAAGAGAAAACGGATCCTGTCGATCCAGAAAAACGTTTGGTTTTCAGCTGGAATCGTTGCAAAAGAAGCCTCCTCCGTTCCGTCTCGCGGAAAAGTCGTGGAAACGAACGCGATCGGGCTCGTTTCGGATGTTAGGCGAACGTAGACGTAGATAAATGGAATTAAATCGTGATACTTCGTGATTTCAAGTCTTTCCGGAGATAGAAACTAATTAGTTTCTCGTACGCTTCTAATCGATGTTTCGTTCGACGACGTTTCGACGAAAGCAAATTTTTAAAGATGTTTAAGTATTACGGGCGAGAAACGCTTTTCTTGTATCGACTACTAGGGTGCTATTAGGGACCGCCCGCGCATAAGTGTGAACCATACTTCGGTGAAAGTGTTGGCTCGCTTAGAAACTTTATCATCGCTGTCGTCTGATTTTATTGTTGCTGTGAAATCGTCGATCGGACACGCTACTTTTAAGCCATACTCTCGTATCTCTGTTTCTGGGGTCCGTAAACAATTACACAGGGTCTCTGACAATAGGTGTACCGTCGTATATAAGTAGCTATGCTCTGAAACTTGGGAGAATTTATTTAGTTTTCTTCTCGGAACAAGACTTTTCTGTTTCGATCCGTTATGGAATTTTACGTTTCTTTTTTTTCCCCCCCGCCCCCCTCCCCACGCGGAAGATTGATGTAATCGTTTTGCAATCCGTGGGAAAGCATCTGGTATACTAATTCGAAGCGGAACGTCGAAAATTCTGCATAAAAGCGGAAGCCGAAGTCGAAGTCGAAGTATTTCCGTTGTTCGGGCCAAGTATTTAATAAATCGACGAGTTATTAAGTTTTCTGACGTTTCGTGCGCAATTCCCTCGTCTTCATGGCGAGACTATACTTATCGATCAGCCTCGAGAATGTTAATATAATTTATGGAGTTTGCAAGAAAGTAACAGTATTATTTTTTATGAGGATATCAGTTGGGAGTTTGTAAACTTCTGTATCAAGTAGCATTTAATCCCAAAAAGTATTTATTTTTTGATAGAGAGATATTAAATTAACGAAAAGGGAATCCATTTGAATTTCGAATCCTCGGTATGTATTCTTCCCGGAATAATAATTTATTTCTCCCATAGGAAGGCTTTCAAAAAATTCATGAATATGGAGTTTGAGAAACATTGCTTTCCAGCATGATATAAAATTCTTCTCACTGTAAAGAACGACCTACATTATTAATGTTTTGCATCTATCAAGTGGAGAGCCTCGAGTTTGCAAAATTTACGTGAATTATTTAAAAAGTATTCTGTTATTTATCTCGTAACCGGCGCTCGTATGCACCCAGACTGTTTTATGAGAATTTCGGAGTCAAAAGTCTATATTAATTCGCAAAATAAGGATATTTCGTTATTGGAACAAAGGCATAGTAATTTCTAAATTTAATTTTGAAATCCGTTTTACCCGTTTTTTATGACACACTCATACTATTTTTGGTTCGTTAACATTCGGTGGTTTTACGGTTTGCAACCCATTTTCGGATCGTTCGTTTCAAACATTTCGACCCGCATCGTTTGCATTCCGTTTGTCGTTCAAATTTACATTTCGTTTTGGAGAATTTCGAAATATTTGAAATACTGACCCATTCGTTGAAGCAACAGACGCATTAATGCGAATTGACTATAGTCAAAATGGTCGTTCGAGCGGTCTAATCGCTGTGATCCGAGTTATCTGGAATTTGAAGTCCCCTCTGACGCAATAATTGCAAAATATTAACGTGTCATTGTTCTTTCTTTCGTTCTCAAAGTCTAGATTCGAGTTATACAGATGCTTTCACCACGAACGTACTTCCTTTAGTCGAACGAATTTCCGTTGCTTGATGGAGCGCACGACAATCGATCTAAGTAAACGCTAAGAATTATGTGCGTCTATGCACCGGTTATGTGTAATTTAGAGTAGAGAAGCGAGCAGTGGTCCAGGAACCAGCATTTCGTGGCCAAAAGTAAAACATGTCCTTTATATTCATAGTTTCTTCAACAAAGATACACTTTCATCATATACACCAAGAGATTCTCAAAAACGAAGTTATCAACAATACTGAATTTCAGTTTGTGCGCAAATGGGTTAATTATTGTACAGAAGTTCTTCGTTAAGCTCTCCTTAAAGCTTTTATTTTTATTCAAAACAGTTTACTTGACTATTATTTGTATGTTACATTAGAACCTTCGATGAGTGTTCTGGAATTACATACTTCAGATTTCTTCAAAGTCCGGAACAGTAAAAAGTAAAAGAATATTTTGGATTTGTGAGCTTGAAAGGAAGAAGTGTTTTTCAAATAGAAAAATTGAAAAATTAACTTTTGGCCACGAAACGGTGTTTCTTGGACCACTGTGCGCCGCGGCGAGTAGTCCAGGCGCCATCTTGCGCAATTCCGGCTGCGTACGAGCTCGAGGATGTCGATGGAAAAAAAGATCAGAGAAACCGGTGACGCCTCGAGTATGCGCCGTCCGTCAATAAAAAGAAATATAAGCGAAATATTAATCAAGAATCATCATCCCCCACCCCCGTCAACCCCTCTTGAAACCTTCGCGAGAGAGAACGAATGTTACACGCTTTGCTTTTCCGCTCCGAAGAGAATCGTACTGGTCGAAGCACCGAACAGATGCCTTCAGTCCTGTTACAATACATCTGATTAATAGAACGGAAAACGAGAGTGTCAGTTGGGGCGAGTTGCGTCGTCGCCGTTCTTCTCCTTTCTTCCGCTTTGTCTCCCATTCAAATCCATTTACAAGAGAAGGACACCGACTCTCCGGCTTCGATTTTAATGTCCTTTCGCGGAAGCGATGCCTTTAAACGTGTGCAAAATATTACGTAAATAATTAAAATTACACCTAAACATTTTACACCTTTTTCTTTATCCATCAAAGTATGTCACTTTCATTATTTGTATTTTAAGAATTGTTGAGCATTTACACCTAATATTTTACGTAGATCAAGAAGGATAACCCTGTTATGCAAAATATTAGGCACAGATACTCGACAGTTTTTAAGATATAAATAATTAAAGTTACACCTTTCTGTCTATCTATCAAAGTATGTCACTTTCATTATTTGTGTTTTAAGAATTGTTGAGCATTTACACCTAATATTTTACGTAGATCAAGAAGGATAACCCTGTTATGCAAAATATTAGGCACAGATACTCGACAGTTTTTAAGATATAAATAATTAAAGTTACACCTTTCTGTCTATCTATCAAAGTATGTCACTTTCATTATTTGTGTTTTAAGAATTGTTGAGCATTTACACCTAATATTTTACGTAGATCAAGAAGGATAACTCTGTTATGCAAAATATTAGGCACAGATACTCGACAGTTTTTAAGATATAAATAATTAAAGTTACACCTTTCTGTCTATCTATCAAAGTATGTCACTTTCATTATTTGTGTTTTAAGAATTGTTGAGCATTTACACCTAATATTTTACGTAGATCAAGAAGGATAACTCTGTTATGCAAAATATTAGGCACAGATACTCGACAGTTTTTAAGATATAAATAATTAAAGTTACACCTTTCTGTCTATCTATCAAAGTATGTCACTTTCATTATTTGTATTTTAAGAATTGTTGAGCATTTACACCTAATATTTTACGTAGATCAAGAAGGATAACTCTGTTATGCAAAATATTAGGCACAGATACTTGACAGTTTTTAAGATATAAATAATTAAAGTTACACCTTTCTGTCTATCTATCAAAGTATGTCACTTTCATTATTTGTATCTCTAAAACTATTGAATATTTCGACCTAATATTTTACATAGAT